TAATAAAAGAAATGGAACATTTTGTATTTCAGTATGAAGAAAGGTTAACAAATGTAAACCTCTTTAGTTTAGAAAAACATTGCCTGAGAGGGGATATGATAACATTATACAAATATATTCAGTGCCAATACAAACCATTGTGCGGAAATCTATTCACAAACCAGACTTTACATAGGACACAAGGTCATGCGTTTAGACTGGAAGAAAGAAGATTTCGTCTAAGGCTAAGGAAAGGTGTTTTTTTGGTTTTTTTTTTACTGTAAGAACAATAAGGCTGTGGAATTCTCTGCCTGAAGAAGTGTTTTTATCAGAGTCAATACAGATGTTCAAACAGCTACTAGATGCATACTTGCAAAAACAGAATATTCAAGGATATCATTTTTCAATATAGGGTAATAGCTGCTTGATCCAAGGATAAATCTGACTGCTAATCTGGGGTCAAGAAGGAATTTTTTTCCTAGTTTGTTGCAAAATTGGAAGTGCTTCAAACTGGGTTTTTTTTTGCCTTCGTTTGGATCAACAGCAAAAACAAATGTGAGGAAGGCTGAACTTGATGGACGCAAGTCTCTTTTCAGCTATGTTACTATTTTATTGCAGTAAAAGCTAACAGTATTATAAGTCACAGTTAAAGTGCCATATAGAACTTGGAAAATAACAAAATGTCTTAATTTCTCAAACTTTTTTTAGATTGCATACTTATTGAATTATTTTTGTGAAATAAAAGCTCTGCTTCTCTCGAACAAAATGGTGAAAGAGGTAAATTATGGTCGAACAGACCTGTAGCACAAATTCTAGGTTTTGTTTTGATCAGAACTTGTACAATTGCTTCTATCCTTAAGGAGTTAAACCTATTACTTTCTATCTTAATGTTTTTATTGATTCTAAAAAGGAATCGTACATCAAAGATAGAATTTTTGCCATATTTAAGCACCTTCTAATCCTTTACTGGTAATACCAGATACATTATGTGTTTTAGAGTGGCTGCTTTTACTTATTATTTTTCTTAGAAATTGTTTGTAGTATATATGCTCTCATTTTATGTTGATTTAGGTTGAAACTTCAGATGTTGTGAACTACATCTCCCCTGATGCTTTGCCAGCATTATGGCTGTGAGAGCATTATGCAGCTGCAACGGGCTTGCACACTAAGGGGGGCCATCGGACGACCCAAAACCGTAATCGGATCACCTAGTGGGCATGTGTCTTCAGATACCCAGTCTTGTGCTTCAGCTTTATTACAGTGTGACCAGGCCCATTTAATAATGGCAGTGCTGCTAACACCATGCAGCACGGGCGGAGGTGGGGAGCACAGCCTGCAAGCCTGCCTCCCAATAGTAGACTGGATCCCAGGGAAACCACCTGTTAAACTTAACAAAACTGTAGGGTGGCTATAAAAATTTACATTTTAACCTGCATATGTATCTGTGTCAATGTGTGTGTCTGTGTATCTGCAAGTGTGTCAGTGTTTGTATCTGGAAATGTGTCAGTGTGTGTAGCTGTGTATATGTGCATACATCTCAACATTCAAACACCAACACTACACACGAATACAGCCCTGCATTCAAACGTCAACACTACATACAGAGACAAACCCCTAAATTCAATAGCAAACACTACACATAAGTAAACCACTGCTTTCAAAAGACTTTGATTATATTTGTTCCACTTGAAAAGGCACTGACTCTTTATCTTCCACACTGGGTTATATGCCTATTTATAAAGGCATAAGAAAGAACAGAAAAGATGATATAGTGGGTGGAACTGACATTAGTTGTGGAAAGCATGTTGGACGTAACTGTTGTATACTAAGTATTTATCTTGTGTGTGCCTCCATACTTTTCATGATCAGATTCTTCAGACATGCTATAAAAAGAATGTAATAAGTAACGATAATTGAATAAGAATCCAGACTACATTAACATACAGTATTACCAGAACTGGCTTGCTAACTAGTGCCTGAAGAGGCGAAAGATAACTACCCTGTGGCAGATGAGGCCTTGCTAGTTGCCAAGCAGCAGTAAGAGGCTCTATCTGTGATTTGGGTCGAAGGGCTGTGACCACTAAATTGTGTACAATGTGGCAGGGGATGGCCTCTCAGTGACAATAAAATATTCAAAACGTGTTGCTGTGACATGTGAAGCCGTAACTATGATCACAGAGAAGGGTAAGTGAGGCAACGCCTTTGATATTGGCCATTTGGGCAAGAAACTTCTGTGTTGAGGTGGGCTGTTGGCCTCGCATGACCGGTTGTGAGATGAAGCTATGCTAAAGGTCAGCACCTGAACCTCACAGCCAGTTCACTAGACAGGGGTTTGAATCATGTTGTAAAATGAACGTAACGTATAAAGTACGTACCTTGGTAGACAAGATAGTCCCTGTGTGTGACAAGCTTAAAGAAGTGGACACCTACAGAAGTAAATAAGTATATCACCTAGGGAATGAGAATAGCAAATAGGAAGAGTGAAAAAAGATGTGACAAACGCCCTGTGGTCTGGTCGTTTGCCACAAGCTCCTGGAGGAGCCTGTGAGCCAGCCTCCTGCCCCAGGATTATGGGCCATACAAAATACCCTGCAAACTACTCTGTTCGTGTGATTTAAGATTATGTTGTTCAGGAATCGAACAACCGCACGAACCAGAGACCACCCGGGAGCTTGTTAAGCCCAATTGACACCTTGTTACTAGTGTCACCGCAGTGTTCTAATTGTTCGTCTGGGTGGTCGTAATTCGTATAAACGACCATGAGGTGGTGCCCATCTTGTTCGCATGAACGCAGGCAGCAGTGTTTGGTCGTCGAGTTCATGGAACTAAAATTGGACACAGAAACTCCCGAACACCGCTGGACTTCCATCATCGCCTGCGTTCGGTTCTATACCACTTAGAAGGGCACTGTTCAGTAGAAACGTTCCCACTAACAAGTTGAACAAGCTCCATGTAACGGACCGTTTTGCACATAAGCGGTTAAAAATCGGTTAGGCGATATTTCCCTTTCTCAACTGCACAGACAGCTACTGCAAGCACCAATCTCCCGAACTGCAAACCCACATAATTCACCAACTCCCGAACTGTAACCAAGGAAATACTCGAAACTCCCGAACTGCATACCAAGTAGCACTCCGAACTGGAGACACACGAATAGCTGTTAGCAGACGAACAGGAAAAGCCCCCAAGCGGCTTACACTCCTGGCAATCAGTCTCTAACAGCATACAGCAAATCCCCCCAAAGACGAGACGACACTTCGTTTTGAGGGTCAAGCAGAATCAGGTTTACTGGGGCTAACTGCCCGGCTTTTATGCAGGTCTCCCACCTGGTGGACACTCCCCTAGGGGACCAGATGGGAGACTGGGACACAAAGGGTACAAGAACCAATCACAGACTTACACATTTCAGCAATCCCACAATGCATCACAATCCCTCCTCTCTGTCCTGGAGATAATTGGGAAGTAATCCAATTATCTCCAAGGACAGAGGCAAAACTCCATTACATACATTTTCAGTAAACAACATAAAATTACATACAGTTACATTTATTACATAAAACATAGACATTCTACATATCCCCAGATAGCTTAGATCTGAGCGCATATTACTACCGAATGGCGCTCAGATCACATACATATAGTTCAATCGCCATGGAGCCAAAGTCTTTCACATAGTCTTTCGTTACATGAACAGGCTCCATGGCTTAGCTATCTGGGGTGATGCTGTTCATCTGGTTAAATTACCGAACGAACAGTAATTCGGTTCCGCTACCGAATGGAAAGGTAAGGAGGCTGGCGGCTCAGCGGTGTTCGCGCCAATAAGTGTCCGGTTTCAGTTCCATAGTTTGGGCACTGAACACTGCTGGCCGTTTGGGAGGTAAAATGGCCGCTGCCACGTGTTCGGCAACCGAACAAAGGCCACCGCAGCTTCTGGGCAGTCAATTGACGGCACACTCCAGTTCCCAGGTGGTCCATCGTTCGGTAGTTTGTTCGGTAGATGGAATCTACCGAACACCCTGGCAGAAAGGCACGAATAAACCTTTCAGCAGGGAAAATAACAGGTCTGAACTGTAGGGCCATAGTCTAAAGGGAGCAGACGAGCAACCAGGCTTCTCCAGTGCATAGTGGCGAGGTTGGTTCCACCATACTCCAGAGTAGAACTATGGATTCCATTTGGTAGTTTGTTTTTAAACTACCGAACTTGACTTCCAGGGAAATTCCAAACCCCTGAACCAATCTGGTTGATTTTTGGATATGTTGGTCATCCAGATCAGGGCTATCAGGGATGTAACTGTGGGGTTTTGATGTGTTTTAAAGGTATTTTGGGGGTTTTGTAATATTGTATGTTTTTCTGTGTCTGAAGATAATTGAGTCAGTTCAGTTTCTGACTCAATTATCTCTCATGCACAGAGGAGGAGTTTGTAACTTGTAGCCAGTCCCCTCTCAGAGTAACATCATGTTCAAATGACTACATAATAACAGATAGTAAGAACCATTTGTATTAAATAAATGACTCTAGTATACCTGTTTTGATAATAGACAAAAAAAAACACTGAATCCTATTCACTTGGTGAAGAACCTCTAAACTGATGTAACAAATAACATAAGAGAAAGTCAACAAACCCCAAAACAGAAGTAATAAAAGGGTTTGAGTTACATATGTCACAATTCTAATAACAATGAAACTCTCGAATGTATGTGAATCGTGGACCCGTCGTGGGTCAAGCATAAACGAAACAAGCCCCAAGTCAACCCAGGAGGAAGGGGTATATAACCAAGTATGTGTGTGGGCTTTAATGAGTACCCAGCTAGGCGTGAAAAGGCAGCGTGATGGCCTTTGCGTAAAGAACTGTAATAACAAGACAAAACACTGTAACAACTGTAAGGTTACAAGTAACTGAACAGAGATGTACAGAAATGGAGAGAGAAGGGGGGCGTGGCTGAGACTTCAATGTGAGCAGACGTGCATAGCTCTCGACGGAATGCAACTTTAAAGGTCGAATTTTATACTACAACACGCCATGGGCAATAAAAAGAAACCTACTACTTCTCAGGATGCTTCACACCCGACGCCGCACAAAAAAGCGGGCGACCTCGACAGATATTTCCGTGATAAAATCAAGGTTCTGTTGATGGAGGCTGAAGATAGCGTGGAGCTGCCATCTTTATCACGTGACTCCCTGCCGCAGAGACCAGCATTTTCGGAACTGTCCATGAGTAGCAGGGATACAGACCTGCACACTCTGATACAGAATTTACCTTCCAAGACAGATATTGCCTCGATGCTGGCAGGGCTGGAATCTTCCATGCAGGTCTCCTCCCTTGCACAGGATATCCGCCATGTGGGGCACTGGGTCACTGACCTGGAGGGAGAAGTGGATGTGATCCGGGCTCGCCTCCACAATATATAGCAACTTCAACTTTCTACCGACGATCAGATCACCCACATAATGATATCACTGGAAGATTTAGACAACAGGGGACGGAGAAACAACCTCCAAATCAGAGGCTTACAAGAATCTCTAGACTCACAGGAAAATTTATCCCACACCCTGCAGGTTCTATTTAACAAATTCCTAAAAAGACCATCAGATTCTCCAGTGCTCCTGGATAGGACACACAGGGCTCTTAAACCTAGGGGACTCTCTAGAGTTACCCAGAGATGTTGTCTGTAGAGTCCATTACTTTGCACTTAAGGAGGAAATAGTGCACAAAGCTCGATCTTCTCCATTTCTCAAATCTGACAAAAGCCAAATTCAGATTTTCCAGGATCTGTCAGGGACAACTCTACAAGGAAGGAGGGCTCTCCGACTGATCACCATGGCATTACAGGAAAGAAACATCAGATACTGCTGGGGATAAGCAATTTCTTTTACAGCTACTTATGCTGGAAAACCAGTCATCCTGAATACACTGGAGGACATCCCAGCCTTTCTCAACAAATTGGATCTCCTGACCATGGAGATTCCCGATTGGTACCATCCACTGGCTCACGTAACACCGACACCTCAACCACAAAAATGGGATGCTACAACAGGTCGACAACACCTACAGACAGACCACCATCAAGCAGCCTCATCTTCAATATCCAAAACTGGGCCTCCGTTCACTTGACTTCATATCAAGTCGTATGGGCCTTTTACCTGCCCCAATTTGGTCTAAATAGCTCTGGTACCAGACACCTGGTTAGAAGCTCCTACATAGTTTATTTTCCATCATAACCGTTATATTTTGCTGATTTAATAAATGTTTGCTATAAAGGCCACCATGATTGTCTTCCTACCCTTATTGCCCTTTAGGCCACCTACTCGCCACCCACTTTTGGATAGGGTGACAAGAGAGGAGAGAGAATAGAACACCGGGGATTTTCATGCCCACCCCCGGTCATGTTATGTGTCAAAGTCATGCTTCATTTGGTCACAAAGGACTTCGATCTATCTTTTGAACCAATGGACCAATTTGGATGATTTTGTCATATGTTTGTATTTTGAATATGCTGATTCTGAAAATGTAAGTGAATGTGATTTATACTTTTAAAGTTATGAATAATGTGGAAAAACTGTATTTTTCTGCCTGAAATAATTACATTAACCCATTGTGTAAGGTAATTGTATCACAGGCAGGGGGAGGATTTTGTGTGGGAGTGTCTGAGTCTATTGTACTTTTATTGGTTGTTTTACAAAACCCTGTGGGTGGTACTAATGTGTAAGAATGTGTATATAAGAACAATAAACCCACAGCTCTGGCTGTTCACTGCTTGACCCTCAACACGGAGCTTTGTCTCGTTCTTGGGGGGATTTATTGTATGCTGTTCCAGTTCGACTGCTAGGAGTGTAAACCTTTCGTATGGTTTTTCCTATTTGGCTGTTTGAAAATGAGGATTGTAAAATATTCAATGTCCATTGGCATATGAGAGCTCTCAACAATGTTATAAGAATCTTCTGGCTTGGAGTCTATGGATTTATATTACAAAGTAACTTAAATACAGTACAAGAAGATAAACTACATGCATATCTACTGGAAAACTGTTTCAACAGATGCCAGCTCTTGTGCATGGGTAACCCACAAATAGAAAATAATGGCCGGGGAGTAGAGTAATAGTGCCTACTAAAGTATTTTCTTCCATACGGTTTCTTGATGCTGGGAGTAATGTTTAGAACTGTTCAAAGTTTAGTCTTCACTTAAAAATGTTTTTTAATAGAAACAGCAGCTTTGTATGTAAAGCCCCAAAGAGGTAAATGAGGTGAACACCAGTGACATTCTTGGCCTTCAAACACAGAGATGTCTTTAAAACTGTGTAACAGGAAAGGAAAATCTTATTCAGCTGTTCTGACAGGAGAGGGAAGCCTCAACTGAGAAATATTGCCAAGTTAACAATGTGGTTGAGCAAGATTAAGGTTGCCTAGGCTCTGTTTCTGAGAGTGATGTGTATGATGATTTGGTGTCATGGGTGGCTGAGTGTGTCTGTGTTTGGTTGAGAGTTGTATGTGTGTTAGCTGAATTGTATGTTTGTGTTTTTACTCCTTCCTAGGTAATCCAGTGGAGAGTAAACAGGATCCCTGGTGGTCCAGTGCGCAAGCTTCCTGATCTTCACCAATATTGGGTGCAGAGTTAAGAGTGCCCTTGCGGTTCTGGCACTTTGAGTCATCAATAAGTGCCAGGGGACTGAATGGTGACCTACAAGAATGCACTTATACTTTGATGTAGAGCACAGCTAAAAAAAAAATATTTCTTCTTCTGTAAAAATAATCCCACTTCTCAGAACATACTTCCAGGTTATTCCAGTAATGAGAACCACCTGGAAATAATGTGTCACTGTCATATTCGTAGTACAATTCTGGTCCCAGATTACCTGATTTCTACTTCTTGAGAGGCTGTCTTAAAGTTTATAGGAATTTCCAGTGTAATCAACTTTTCAGTAACAAGGAGAAACAGGACTTTCATTTCATATCAAATATTTGTATATGAAACAATCTATTATGAATAAAATAAAAAAAACTGAGAAATTTAAAAAGGTTTTTAAAAATCTGTAGTTCTGCCTCACATTTTAGCTGTAAATGTCATAATACTGTTAGCTTTTACTGCAAAAAAAAGCACATATTTGGATAAGTCTCACAAGTACAACGGTAGCCCCCATTAACAGTTTTTACGGTGTTTTGGAAAGTTAAAGGGTCAAATATAGCCCATTCCATTTTTCAGTTTTTTCACATTGAAATTTTCCAGATTAGCAATGTTACCTTTGAGAACGTGTGGTAGCCCAGGAATGAGATTTACCCCCATGATGGCATACCATTTGCAAAAGTAGACTACCCAAGGTATTGCAAGTGGGGTATGTTTAGTCTTTTGTAGTAGCCACTTAATCACAAACACTGGCCAAAGTTAGCATTCATATTTGTTTTTGTGTGAAAAAAAGCAAAAAACTAATATTTGGCTAGTGTTTGTGGCTAAGTGGCTACTAAAAATGACTGGACATACCCCATTTGCAATACCTTGGGTTGTCTACTTTTGCAAATGGTATGCCATCATGGGGGTAATTCTTATTCCTGGGCTACCCTACGGTCTCAAAAGGCAACATAGCCAATCTGGCAAATTTCAGTGTGAAAAAAATGAAATGCAAGCCTTATATTTGATTCTCTAACTTTCCAAAACACCATAAAAACTGTACATGGGGTATTGTTATACTTGGGAGACTTCACTGAACACAAAAATAAGTGTTTTAAAACAGTAAAACATATTACAACAATAATATCGTCAGTAAAAGTGCCGTTCGTGTGTGAAAAATTTAAAAACCGTCACTTTTACTAAAAATATCATTGTTGTAATACAAGTTACCATTTTGAAACACTAATATTTGTGTTCAGCGAAGTCTCCCCAGTAAAACGATACCCCCCCCATGTACAGTTTTTATGGTGTCCTGGAAAGTTACAGGGTTAAATATAGTGCTTGCAATTCAAATTCTCTGCACTTTTTGCCTGGGTTGTCAGGCATGTCAATCAAATTTTAACTAATTAAATCACATAATTATGTTAAAATATTACTTAAATATACATGTAGAATTTTAATATATATACATATATGTATTTAAAGTCTACACGTACACTGTAATTATATATATATATATATACACATACATACACATATATTTGCGGTTATTTGTATTTTATATATAGATAGATATATATATATATATATAGAATGTCATTCTAAGTGTATTTTGTTACACACACATACACACACACATATACATATATTAATAACAAAATACAGTTAGAATTAAACACTCCCAATCTGCACAACCTAAGCACACAGCGCCGTGCTGCTTGGTTCTTATTGTCCAACCCTCGCATGGTTGCCGTGATAGTCTCTTCCGAAGGATCTGGGCCATACCTGGCTAGTCGCCTCTTTACCTCATCAATGTAGGCGTTGCCCTCATAGCAATACGTCATGTTTGCTTGGCACCCACTCTGGCCCTCTGATCCTCACCCTTGGGACTCCTCTGTAGACAGGGACACTGCATGGTAGCTAGCTCTATCCCTCCATTATAAATGCACGACACTCCCACACACATAGCATACAATCCTGGGAGATAATTGAGTCAGATACTGAATTAACCCAATCAGATACTGTATTAACCCAATTATCTCCAGGCAGAAAAACACACATTTCTACAAAGTCCCAAAAGTACCCCATAACACACACTATCCCCATAAATGTTAAATCCCCCCGATAGCCCTGATCTGGGTGAACAACATATCCGAAAATCACCCAGATCAGAGCAGGGATTCAGGAAATTCAAGGAAGTCTCTTTTTGGCCGGCCAGCCAGCCAGCCAGCCGCTCGCACGCACGCACGCACGCACGCTTTCATGCCCAAAACAGTTCCAGAGAATCAGGACTTGCGGCTGGTCTAGTTCGGTAGTTTGCAAACGAACAAACTACCGAACAGAGTCAATAGTCTTACCCTGGAGCTTGTTCCCTTCATCCAGACGAATGATCTCACCGAACATTATCCTTCTAAGCTGAATAGAAATGAAGGAAGTCCAGCGGTTTTTGGGCATGATTCTCCTGGAACTAAAATCGGCTACAGAAACTCCCAAACACCACTGCCTGCGTTCATGTGAACAAGATGGCCGCCACCTCGGAATTAGGCACATACGTAGGGACCTTCACGGCACTTGATAAGTCGCAAGCCAATATGAAGCGGTTGTTCCCCCAGAGAGTTTTTGGCGGGGCTGTCTGCCCGGCCGTTCATACCAGGGTTCCTGAGGCTCCAGTCACTCCAGGTTTCAAGCATCTGAACCCAAATTCAATTCCCTGTTTTCCAGGTTCGAGGCAGACGTTGGCAGCCTTGCGGACCCGTAGGTTCTTCCGACGGCCTTATGGTAAGTTCAAGTTCATGCAATTTCCCTTCGATATTAGTGGGTGCAGATTAAGTCATTTTGTATGTGCTTGGCGCAGGTTAACCTCAGATGCTTGGGTCATTCAAACTGTCCTAGGCTATTCCATAGACTTCGTACAATACCCTATTCAGAGGTTTTTACCCAACTGCATCATGTTCTCAGCACACGACCGGCACCTGGTGTCACAAGAAATACAGTCCTTAACATCCAAAGGTGCAATCTCAAAAATTCATCCTCACACCCCAGGTTTCCAGAGCTACCTTTTCCTAGTCCCCCCAAAAAAGTTGGGGGCGTTCGACCTGTCATTAATCTACGACCACTGAACACAGGGTCGGCGCATCCTATAGGCTAAGTAGGCAGCCGCCTAGGGCTTTACTGCTTGTCTGGCCAACCCCCCTATCAAATGGGATTGATTATATATAACGGGCCGCCGTGTTACCGGGTGCAAGGGAGCACTTACTTGTAGACTAGCGCCCAGTAGAACTTTGCTCAGGCCCCCTCTCCCAGTCACCGCAAGGACGCCTCATTCACTCGTTCCCACCCCTTGCCCTGCACGTGGGGACAAGGGGTGTGAGAAAAACAGGAAATTGGGCTTGAGAAAAAGTGTTGGCCACCAGGCGCAGTAAAGAGGACTGGAATAAAGAGCAAATTGCAGTGAATGTAAGAGAAAACGCAGTGTGTTACATAGAATGTGTTTTAGTATGTTTGTGTATGGCAGTCTGCTTTGGGGTGCTGGTGGTGGTGGGTGTGTGCAAATAGGGTATGTTCAGTCTTTTTTAGTAGCCATTTAGTCCCAAACACTGGCCAAACTTAGCGTTTATATTAGTTTGTGTGTTCAAAATGCAAAAAAACAAATATAACTTTGGCTAGTGTTTGTGACTAAGTTTGGCCAGTGTTTGTGACTAAACGGCTACTAAAAAAGATTAGACATACCCCATATTAAATACCCTGGGTTGTCTACTTTTGCAAATGGTATGCCATCATGGGGGTAATTCTCATTCCTGGGCTACCATACGCTCTCAAAGGCAACATAACCAATCTGGCAAATTTCAATGTGTATAAATTGAAAAATTAAACATGCTATATTTGCCCCTGTCACTTTCCAAAACACCATAAAACCTGTACATGGGGGATGCTGTTGTAGTCACGAGACTTTGCTGAAAATAAATATGTGCATTTCATTGCAGTAAAAGAGAACAGTATTATGACCTACATAAATCTAAGGCAGCGGTGGTGTGCCTGCAAGAAAGACATTTCTGTAAAAAAGGGCCGCCTAGATTGCAATCTAAACATTACCCACAAGCATTCCATGCTCTTTCCCCACATAAATCTAAAGGAGTCTCAATACTGTTCCACACTTACTGGGTGTTCCAACAAGACACTAGCTACACAGATGACCTGGGCCGACTTTTGATTCTTGTGGGAGCATTTAACGGGACACAGGTTACAATCACTTTACGCACCAAATAACTCACAAGCTACTTTTATTTTTTTTTATTTTTAAACAAAGCCCTGAAACGTATAACACGGATGTGCAAGGACACTTTAATATTTTAGACCTGGCACTAGACATTGAATGGCAAGAGACCACACACCTCTACGATCTCCCTAAGCTTTCCCAAATACTTCACAGCCACGAATTATATGACACGTTATGTGGTCTTTATCCATCCACTTGTGACTACACATTCCCCCCCTCCCCCAGTGCATCTGACTTACTCACGAATAGACATGTGCTTAGTCAACAAATCCACCCTACTAAATGTGCTAGAGGTTAAGATAGGCATCTCAACATGGTCAGATCATGCACCGCTCACGATCACATTCAAAGCTATATGCCTGGCCCGGGGGAGAGGTTCATGGTGCATTAACGAATTTATTTTAGACAAAACTGCCCATCTTACCACAATCCAGCAATCCATACAGAATTATTTTAGGGAGAACACGGACACCTATGTGCCTGTGGCTACACAGCAGTTAGCCCACAAGGCTGTTGTCAGGGGGGGTCCTGATTCAGTTGGGCACGTAGAATAAAAGACGTGTGCGGCTCCTCCGGGCGCTTTCCACATGGCAGGCTCAAAAAAAAAAAAAAAAAAAAACACTCCCAATCCAAAAAATTGACCTGACAACTAAACCAAGTGAAGCACTACCTATATACAATAGCCTTACAAAACAGCACCTTAGACGTTTATAATTTACATACTATACCCAAGGTGCTAAAGCCGGAAAACTGCTGACTAACTTTCTACAAACCAAAATCCCATCACATGTACTCAAAACACAAAACTATATAACCCTACCTTGATTGCCAAAGAACTAGCCAGGCTCTACAATAATCTATACAATTTACGGTGTGATCACATCCCACCACGGAGGGCAGAGAGGTTCCTGAGGGAGATCACCCTCCCGCAGATTAATGACCATCAGCGACAATCGCTCGATAGTCAGTTTACTGAAAATGAGGTCAGGGCTGCTATCCTCTCACTTCCTAAACATAAAGCGCAAAGCCCCGATGGGTTCGCCAAATATTTCAGTAAATATGAACCCCTTCTAATCCCCCATCTCACCAAACTTTACAATCACTTCACAAATTCAGCAAGAAATGTTGGTAGCTCATATAATGACCCTGCCCAAACCAGGAAAAGCACCCACTGAATGTGCAAACCTAAGACCCATTTCGCTGCTAATTGCAGATCTCAAGTTATATGCTATACTGTTAGCCTCAAGAATAAAACTTCTTTTGCCACAATTGTTGCCGGAACAGGCGGGTTTTGTCCCTCACAGACAAGCAGGAGATAATACCAGACACTTCATTGACCTAATAAACTGGGCACAAACCACCCGGCAACAAGGACTGCTATTGGCGGTGGATGCAGAAAAAGAGTCTGATCGCTTCAACTGGTCATGTATGCATAAAACGCTCCTCAAATATTTTTTTTTTTCTGAATCTTTATCTAGCATAATGGCTTTATTGAACAGTTTGAATGGTTGAACAGACAGTGCAAATTCCAGTTTTCATTTTAATCACGTGTACAAGTGGCTCAGTCCTTAATGGGTCAAACAATTTCTATATAAGCACATTTCTCAATATTGGGGAAACAAATATAAAGAAGTTAAAGCCAATGTGGTTTAGTACAAGAGCCATTCAAATAGAGATAAGAAAGTTGAATTTAATGTATCCTATAGCAAATATAAGCTTGCAAAAGAGTTTAGATGGACTAAACTTTCTTTAAAAAAACAAAAACAAAAAAAAAAGAACACTTCTAGGCAAAGAGAGCAAGACCCACACCAAAGGTGTTTTTTTTTTTTTTTTAATTTTTAAGTACATTAATGCCAAACAGGCTAAGAGTGAAAGTGTGAACCCATTGGAAAATTTTGGAATTTGTGTCTTGTCATGAACCTCTTCGATCAGCTTCCCAATCTCATTTTCCAGGACTCAGAGCTATTGCAGGAGGACTCTAAATTCATGGTCTTTTAGGACTACTCCACATTTGTCACTAACAAACTCAACTATTTCAACTCTATTTGGAGGAAGATGGTGATGAAAATGTTATTGCGTGTTACTCTTTCAAAACATACTTCATGGCCACACTGTTCTGTTTAAATAGGTTTTCCGCAATTTTTTTTGTTCCTTGGTCTTGAGGACTCAGACACGGTCCTTTTTGTCGCTATTGTTAATTATGGTTTTACCTTTGATGGTTATATTGTGATAGTTTACTTGCTATTGTAGCAGGATTAAGCTTATCCACTAAACAGAAAGTTATCTTAAGTATATGGCGCACATTTGACCCCATATAGTTTTCCTCCATGAAATACATTGGAAATCCACTAACTCCTATGGTCTAAAAGGACAACAGTCCAGTTGTATTGCCACCACCTACAAATATAACTCCCAAGGAGTAGTAATACATACTCATCCCTCAATGCTAAAATCATACAGCAATTTACCAATCGACAGGGTCGATACATAATTCTGTTAGCATTGGGAGATTTTTGGGACACAAACTTTACTGCTTTTTTACTAAACTGATTTTTATCTCTGCTCTCTTTCAGCAGAGGATATAATCCTGGGATGTCTTTATGTAATGGAGGATAGCTCATTTTTCATTTAGGGTCACTGATCAAACACACCCACTGCACCTTATGTAAAAATCTTCATCTGGAGACTTTCCAGTCTCCAAAATCAGACAGTACACCCCTTACAATTTCCTTCTATCCAAGGGTCAGATCATACATACACAACATTGCTCCCTTTACCATTTCTTTATATCTATGTCTACGCACTGGCAACTCCCTTCTTACCTACTCTCAAATGACACATTTATGCTTTTGCTAAAGGTGGTATTGGCTAATTATGCTGACAACTGAGAACATTTCAATAATTCCATGCTGTTCTGGTGAGCCTTTCAATACATTAATAAGAGGTCAAATTAAATCATTTGTTTCCAAATTTGAAAGGAAACAAATCTTTGCAAACCAAATATGGATCCTGCCAACCCATCCGGCATATCTGACCTCCCCATTGGAGGAAATGAAACATACATACGTAAAAACGAAGGGCCTTGTTAGACTCTACTAGAACAGGCCAAACCACTAGCTCATGCAAAAAAAAAAAAAACAAACAAAAAAAAACACTACCTGTTCTACAGATGGGGCAAGAAATCTGGTCAAATGCCATTACAAATATTGGTAGACCAATACTATCGCAAACACACAACCTAAATTTATTAACTCACTATTCCAAGACTACTTTCAAAAGCTTTATACTGCAGACTGATATGTAGAGTAGAGCTGCCTAAACAAAGTAATGCCCACTGAGAACCTTCAAACACCCAGTCACCTCAGAAGACATCCATAATTACTGCCCTATCAAAGGGGCAGAATATTTTTGAGTCTTAACTACCCCAGTTAATGAAAGTCATCAGCATGGACATCCCTAGGCTAGAACCATTGTCTGATCATGATAAAACACCTGATCAGCTGGAATCCTACAGACTGATCACCCTACTAAACCAAGATATAAAAATTCTCAAATTATTGCATATTGACCGCAGCAATTCCTGCCACAAAAAGAAAAACCAGAACTTTTCACCCTCAGGAGATGGGTTTAAGCTATACAATGATCAGAATGGCCATAGCTGCAATAACATACACTCTGCACGCTCCTCAGTCTACTCCAGGGCTCGACAAGTCCCTGGCGACTAGAAATTTCACCCTGGCACCTGGATTTGTCTGCCCTTTAGCTAAAGTGGCCACAGGCTCAGGGAGCATTGTCATTAGCTGAGGCAGCGTGCATTTAGCACTGAGCTTCCTGCAGCTCCCTCGAGCTGTTTTTTTATTAAAAAAAGTTGAATTTTGCCAACCCATTTGCAAAATCCAATATAGCGGCTAGATATCAACATGCCCTGGGCTCTGTCTCAGGCAGGGACTTTTAATCTACATTAGCTCTAGACCAAAACATGTATCCCAATACAAATTATTTTTCAACGCTTATAACTACAGACTCCAAAACACTTCTATACTATCTGAACTTGGAAATTGGATTAAAACTGAAACACTAATAGCAGTGCCTTTCTCAACAGGTCAAACCCACACTTTCACAATGGGGAATCCTCTCCAGCCTGGCGAATTTCAAATCTCACACCAAATTTTTTTATATAAGGACCAGGCTATCGCTAGGAAATCAGTTTTATTACATATTTAGACCTAACCGGAGATCCCAGCAATAAGAGTATAAAGTAAACTTTCACTCCTTCAGAATCGACTAAATTGAGTCCTGTTTCATAAGGGTTTAGAGTCCATGCAGAGCGTGGAGACTGAATGCCAATAAAGGTGTTCCCTACAGGGGTTTCATTTTCAGATTTTAGACACTCATGCGCTGTTAGTTTAGCTTATATTTGATGCAGGAGCATCCTGCAGTCTAACAAAACAAGAAATAAATTCTAAATTAAAGATCATTTAAACATTTGATCTCTATCTGAAAAGTGTAAGGAAAGAGTGTGAGAAATTGGGTTTTAAAGTGACCAGCCCACACTTACGACCACAAGTTCAGAATCTTCATCCAGCGCTTGGAGACATTAAACAACCATGACTGGCAGTTTTCACTGAAAAAGCATTGTTTTAAAAAAAAAAAAAAAAAAAGAATTCTACCGGAACAGGCAATAGATACCAGAACCACTACATTAAGCTGAAATGGTTCTAGTGAATATAGTGTCCCTTTAATACTCTTGTTGGGGAAGCCAGAATCTCTCCCCCCGACTTTTTAGCTGGCTCCTAGATTCAATGAAAATTTACCAAACCCTGCAGTAGCACCTCTTAACACTTTCTGCCATTAAGAGTTATTTCACTTACAAATTTGAACTTCTAGCACGAGGTCAAGCTATTCAGGATTACAGCTAAATTATGGACACTGGAATTCACTACTTCAGTTGGGGGCAAGGCATGCAAAATTTACTAACAGAAGACCAACTGTTTCCAAAGAACTGCTAAGTCTTAGTCTTTAACTATAATTGTAGCCGACAACCTAAAGTTTTTTCTACAAATGCTTTCATCAGTGTTTGAGGATAATGTGAAGCAAACTCTTATAAGCTTCTCTAAAACCACAGGTAAAAGGCACCACATGCTTGTGCTTCGTATAGCTATATAAAAGGCACACACACATCCTAAAACTGGGGTAGGCAACTTTCAGCACTCCATATTTGGAGTGCAACCTCCATAATGCTGCAAAGCATCAAGGGAGATGTTGTTTACCAACATCTGTAATGTTAAAGGTTGCCTACGCCTGGCCTAAGTGTAATACTGGACAGAAATCACCTCAGGTTGCATACTTCAAAAGCATACAAATGTGTAACCGTGGCTGGTTCCCTTATTTACCACTATAATGTCTTAAAGCATAGAACTTAGTAGGGCTAACCATACAGATATCTTAGCCATATATTTGCATTTGCCCGAAACAAATGTAAGGACAGAGACACCTCCCTATCACACAGCAAGGCAGGTTCTCTTGTCAGGAAGCGATACTAAAGCTCACTGAGGCGCTGGAAAGCACACACTACACAAGAAGTGTCAGACTTCATTTCCATGGCATTGAATGAAAGTTTGTGCCTGGAAAAGAGGCAAAGGCTGCTGAGAAGAGCATTGAAAAAAGGCACAAATGTTTTTGGGTATTTCTACTAAACATTCATTATAACTTTAATTGACTATTCCTTTAAAAATTATCCCAATATACAGACACTTTCTTCCCCACAGCAGTAGTAGTTAAGTGGCATGAGCAAGGATGCAATAATTACACTCTCCTGAGAATGCAAACTCTAAGCTCTCAGTGAGAATTTGTTTACAGAAGCAAAAACTTTAGTTCAAGCACAAACTGCTGCACATCTGAGATGCTTTGTACATCAATTGTAGCCTCATTTCCCTTATGCCATGAATTTATGTAGCAAACCTCCCACAGTGAAGATGAAACTCAGAAGAGCCACTGTAGAGTATACTAGTAGGTTGCTGGTGTAAACTACTTAAAGAAAAGGTTGCAAACTTGAGCATAACAAAAAGGCTTGTAAGTTGATGGCACACATCTGAATTTAAAAATAAGTTTACTTTGTTCATTACATTTACAAACATAAGGTCGTTCCATAAGACCACAGAGACCCATTCCACATGGACTTGTTTAAAATAACTTGACACAGCAGAATGCATTAAAAGTCCACTTTAATTCTTCTGAGCCATTTTATAATCCGATTTCTCATAAAGCATCTGTGGCTTCAGAGTACATAACTTTGGGATAAAAGGCAACTGGTAAACTGTCCATTACAGGTTCCAAATAAGTTCTTACTGGCCCCTACCCAGACATATCCCAGATAAAAGCTTTTGATCAAAAATCGATCCACGTGCTTATTTTAAGCATATTAAAAGAAAACTAGTTGGACCATTTCTATTTGTCTATGTTTTTATACAAAAAAAGGCTACACAATGTTCCACTTTATTCAGGATACATTTAGAGTGATTATGAATTAGTGTTCTACACTTGATCCTTAAAAATTAGAAACCGTTTTAGCAATATGCACTAACTGAACACTACAGAGACTTAAAGATTACCGCAGAAAGAAAAATAATCTAAATACTAAGAAAGCAAGCTAGGTCAGTACCATTAAAAATAAAAATTAAAAAAAAAATGTTATTTAAACAAGCAAGGCTAGTGTTTGTTTTGATAAGTTCCAGCTTGCAAACTATTCTTGTGCATTCTTGATGTACGAGTCTCTTCCAAAAATCCATTGGTATTGTTCCTCCAACCAAAATAAAAAGGACCAGAACATAAAGTTAGCTTCCATTGTTCCCATAGGAAACTCAGCTTGGTTAGTGTGTCAGGCACTTTCTGAGATAACCAGCCCACCCCTCGAGCCCTCTCAGCAACTCTACAGGCCAATCACAATGCAAAATCATTCTGACGATAACTGTAAAAAGAAGAAAAGAAAAATTACAATGAAGTAATGTACAGAGTATGAAGGTGTACAGAAACAGTTGTACTACCAGGTACCCATTCACTAATCTAGACATGCAGTTTAGTTTGAGACGGAAGCATCCAAAAAAACTTAATTGAAATAGGAAAGATGCAGTTGAGGTTCACCCCAAGAATAGTGGAAACCAAAACAAACCTGTACTGTATAAATGTGAGACTAGTTACAGAATGTACATCCAAGGGCATCCAGCATTTACAGGATGCACAAGTGCCCTAGTCAAGTGATATTTTTGATATTATTCCAATTTACACTTCGTGCTAGATCAGCATTCTGCAACTGTGTGCCTGTGTCAGTTTGACTAAATGGTTTTACAAGATAGCAAAACAATGGCCTACATCATAAAGTTTTGCTTTAATAGTTTAATTTTCAGTGGAGGGATTGCTTTATCCAATCTTTTTTAAAAGCACCAATTTATCAAGCATTTGTATGACAGCTAAACCCACTTTAATTGACCGGGGATGGATTAAAGAACCTGCAATATATTAGACATTTTGAGTGATGTGTTTAACCAGTACCAGATATTCAACCCAAAATTGCATTCAAGCCAGAAAAGAGTATACAAGTTATTTACCAAAAGTATATGGATTATTTACAGGTCTGTATCAAACCAGGCCAACTGATTGCTGTCACCAGGGGGCAATCCATCCATAAGATCCTGAGCATGGCCCAAATCAGGAAGTCCATCAACTGGGTAATCTGCTCCTGGGTGATGACCTCCCATGTCATGATCCATCATTGAGTCCATTCCCATAGCATCTTGGCCATAGCCTCCAGCATGGAAAGCACGGTAACTGGGATCTAGAAGACAAGTTTGATGCAGTTTAACAGGGAACTCTTGTTGAATAATAATGTGCATCAGCATTTAAAAACAAGATTTTAAGAAAACATTTTAAATATGCCAAGATCTTTTTAGAAACATTTAAGACCAAGCCATACCCTAAACAACACATCCATGGAAATTTGTGTCATAACCAATTTTAAAGATGACAATGTTATAGATAGACAAGCGTTAGGAGCCTTACCATCTTGCCTGTAAAGTGGTTCACCCTGGGCACCAATATCTAGACCAAGATCTCCAGCCTGAGAAAGAAATTTTCATATTAAACATTGATTACAGTGAATACATTTCAACCCAAAAAGTAACACTCAAGGAAATATTTGTCAGGCATAACTCACTGCTTTAAAGCATAGCAATGAGCAGTAAGTATAACAACTGCACGAATTTCCAGAAGTGTAATTTTAACATGTGTCAAAATTCAATGCATGTGGTAGAATGCTCAGGTTGTACAGGTGTCTTGAGGGGTTCCACTGTTTGTGATTAAATTAGACCGTACAAGTAAACCTCAATTCTTTATGAATACACATTTGGTCTTATGAGCATTATCCAGGGTTTCTACATGGAGGGGGTTCACTTTACAGGGGTGCCAACTCAGTGGTTCTTAAAAACAAAAAAACAGGATTAGTTGGACGTACCTCATTCCATGGCATTGGTTCTGTTCTGAACAGTGAACTAGTAAGCTCAACTGACAAACGTTTCTTGTAGTCTTGTGGCTTGTCTTCAGACATGCGGAATAACACGGCAGCTGCATAGGTGGCTGAAAGGAAAAAAGCAATTAGTGTGACTTCATGCTAGACGTGTTTAATTTATAGTTAAACTAAAAACCAAGGAAACTCTGTACTACAGAGAACAGTCTTCAATTATAGTAAAAAGCTTTCAGAGTTAATGGGACTTCAAACATGCCAATTAAGAATTAGGCGGACATTTTACTCAGCAGCACGCAACTTACCAACACCCTCATTTCTGGAGTGAAGGAGTTCAGTAAGGGGAGCTGTTGCACCTTCAGCTTCAATAGCTTCTGCAGCCTCTTTATCTTGGGCAAGTTCACAGAGAACCCCAGCTGCTACTCTTTGGATGTTTTCAATTGGAGAATACAGCAACTAGAACAACAAGAGAACATTTACCACCACAAAATTAAAGTTTGTACAGCAGTACACCGGATGAGCCAGTTTGAGTTTTGTTTACAAAGGAATTTTACCTGTACAAATAATGGAATGGTATTGAGACCTCTGATTACAATTCTATTGTGAACATCACGAGCTAGAATGTGAAGTGCTCCTGTGCAGCCTTCAACAATCTCTTCCATGCGTACTCCTTCCTGAAAACGAGAATTCCAAAGTTATCTGTACTGGACACCAAACTTGTAAAGACTGTGCTTCACTCTACATTTTGCAGTTTAGCTGTGAATTCACCCTTAGTGTGTAAGTCACCCTAAGTCTTTAAGGTAGAAAAAGCATACATACCACAAACTGCTGTTGTGTTCCACCCATGGATGTGCGGCGCTGGGTGTCTTGATGTGCACGAACTAGGAGCTGAACCAGCCTTGGAATGGCACCTTGCTCACGTAGTGGTGCATGATTAGCTGGGCATAATGCAAGATTGCGGATCAAGCCTACGGTAGCCTAAAAATGAGCAAGACAAAATGCCATAACTGGTTTAGTAATGGAAGGATGTTTAAGTTTTACATTGGGAATGGGGGGGAGAGGGGGAGAAGAGAAATAGTGCTTTAATGCAAGTTTTTTCCCTCCAGACAAGGTGGTCTATTCCTTTACTGAATTCTGCATCGCATTTTGGAATTCCACAGATTTACTCCATATTAAAGGTGACTGTTTTACTATTAATTTATTAACCTACAAATTGTACTCCTTACTACCTTACTGCGCAGAGACCAAAACAACTTTTGCCAATGGAAACAAACTTGTTAACTTACCTTAATTAAGGGCCAGTGAGAAGGAGGGTGCAGCAATTTCACAACTACAGGAAGCCCATAATGGAGACGTACTGCATTTTGAGCCATCTCTGCTTCTTGATGCCTGCTGGTAAGGTGACGGAGTGCACATATTGCAGGTTCTGTTATGTCCTCTCTATCGCCTGCACGCAGAACTGTGCGTACCAGTGCTTCTATGCCGCCCACTTGACACACCATCATCTTATTTTTATAGTTGTTGCACGTAAGGTTGGATAGTATACCAGCAGCACATGTTACAACATTGATATCATCTGAACCAAGAAGTTGGACAAGAGTTCCAAGAAGGCGTTCCATTCCCTCCTGTAGGTGAAAAATAAAATATTAACACCGAAAAAAATTAAATAGTATTTAGAAACCACATATAAACAGACCATTACCTGTTTAGTTGCTGCATCAGAGAGATTTCTTAGAGTCCACAGACAGTTTTGAACTAAGCGTTGGCTTGGATCAGTGAGGTGCAACCCAAGGGCTTGCATGCCACCTAAGTATACAGGTGAGGGGAAGAGCAGGAAGAGGGACAAAAAAAAATAAAATGCATTAATAGCTTGCACTCAAAAGGAAAAACATTTGTCAGCAAGACATTTAATTCTAAATAACACCAGGTTTATTACAAAGTTCAGGAAAGAATAAGTTCACAAGCCAGGAGGCAGACATGCCTTGCTAGGACTGAGATCAAAGCTTACTGTTCAATTCTAAGCAACAGACTGCATAACTATAGACCTGGGGAGTGAATGTATTGCACTGTTTGAATACAAAAAGCAGTCCATGCTAGATTAATGCAGCAAAACTACACATTTGTATATACATACCAGCTTCAACAATAGCAGGTTTATTACTGGAACAGACTGACAGCACTTTCAGCACACGACTTGTGGTCCATAAGAGCTTCTCATAACTGTAAGTTCTCATTATTGTCACCAAGGCCTGGGGTCCACCACTTGCAAGAATGATCAGCTAAAGAACAAGAAAAAGCTTTAGGCTGTATGATATTTTGCTCAAACACCAATGGCTGCACAATACCTACTACGTTAATGCTACTAAAATTTACACAAACCTTTTTCCTGAGGGGGTTAATATGCAGGTCTTTTTTTTTTTTTTTTTTAAACACACAAGTTTAAAATAATGTTTCCCCAAATCCCAGATAAATACAAACCCTCTCAGAATATCCCAGTTTACTTACAATTGTTACTATAATACTATTAGGCTACAGAGTAGCCTAGATTTAACAGAAGATATGCTACACTATTGGCATCACCTCAATTATGTTTAATTCAGAAATCTCTTCCTAGAGAAAAGTATAAAGGTGCTAGTAAGACAAACCTTGCTTTCTTGATTTCCATAGGCCAATATTTGGAGACAGTCTGTGGTAATCGCCAAAAATTTTACATTTGTTTTATTGAGCAGTGCAACCATTTTCTGCAGTCCACCAGCAAGTCTGACTGCCATCTTTGCTCCTTCTTGATGCAGAAGGAGGTTGTGCAGTGTTGTGATGGCGTAGAAAAGCACTGAGTCAACTGGGGAGCTGAAAGTAAAAAGCTCAGAATTAGCTTAGTGAGCTTATTTAAACAATTTTAAACATTATGATATAAGGGTTGCACATACCCGAGCATTTTAACTAGAGCAGGAATTCCACCAGATTTGAATATGGCAAGTAAACCCTCTCTGTGGTGTGAGAGGTTATGGAGCGTCCCAGCTGTGCACCTTGCGGTTTCAACATCATTGGTGTTCTGCATTGTACGAACAATTGCAGACACCATCTGTGGAGAACGCATTATAGCGTGGCGGGAGGCTTCCTTTTTAGATAACTGATGAACCATAACTGCAGCTTTGTTCACAACCACCTGAAGAGAGATCAAAGATACATTCAGTGAAAAATCTGTTTACAATATATGTTTAACAGTGAGAATTAGGGTTTTCCCTCTTGTATCCATCACCTGCAGGTTAAGTTACAATATTTTAAGTGAAATAAAACAGCTGAAACAGAAAACTGCAAACTGTTCTTGCATTGGACAAATTCACCCATGAGAACGGCAAATTCAGCAAGAGTTTACAGCTTGAGTACAATGCTCTTGCCAGTACAAAGTAAGATTTGGTATTTTCATGGGGGAGCCTGGTTAACTAGGATTTTCTAACAAGTATAGCCTCCCATATTACACATACCTGGTCCTCATCATTAAGCAGCTTTGTTAGCTCAGGAATGGCACGAGTTGCCAGTTCTGCATCATCTTGGTAATTTATTAAGTTGACCACAGCATGTTTAAGCATCTGGGAAGGCTCTGCCAGGCGTTGCACATTTGTTGGATGAGTTGAGTCAAACTGCGTAGATGGAATTTGCATGCCTTCATCCAAGGTTTCTGGAAACATAGCTGCACGTACTCTCTGGGCCCTGGTCATGGCGAACTGGCCATCAATGTCTATACAAAACCAGAGTGTTAGTACAGAGACATACAGCAGGCTAATGTGAATATCTACCAACAGTGCTAACTATTTACTTACCTGCCACTTGATCCTGGGTAAAGGACTGAGAGAATCCCTGCTCCCATTCATATAGAACTTGAGAAGTATCTACATCTTCGTCCTCAGGGTTCCCTTTGCCACTAAGAGATGGTGCAGTAGTTGTAGCTCCAGAATGAATACCAGAATCCAGGTAAGACTGTTGCTGCCAGTGGCTGACAGCAGCCTTTCGGTCTGGCTCAATTGCCATGTCAAGCTCCATTAAATCAGCTACAAAATAAAAGTATTACAATTAAATAAACTGGCACTCTTGAACTACATATGCTACAATATGATGGCAATGAAGAATGAACCAGGTCTGTTTTAGGTTATCACAAGTGCTTAAAATAATAAAGCCAACAGTAAGGAGTCTTTTTTATAGCAGAATACAGTCCCTGTAGGTATCAGAACCGCTATGCAGCTCTGCCAAACCTTTACTGCTAAATATTTACTTATAAGTGCCACAGCATAGGAAAGTGCATCACTGGGCTCCTAAGTGATTAAACACTATTATGAAGAAGCCTGTTCTCAGGAAGAAAACAGAACCATAACAACCCCATCTTAGTTGTGTGCATGCAGTGCAAGCACTAACCCCACAAGCAAAGAGTTGACTATAAACAAATGTTCCTTGTGTCACCACAGCAATCAACTTGTAAGCTAGATACATTAGACCAGAATGGCACTTAAAGCCTACATGCAACATCCTTTATGCCTGTTAAGGGCAAGTACAAAACAAAAAAGACAAGCAAGACAGTCACTAATAGAGTAAATATGCATATGGAAAAATACAAATATTGCCAGGTATTTACAGCAAAGATTTAATGGTAATGTACAATTAGATATAAAGAAAGGTGTGGCTGGGTTAGAACAGAAACCAGAACAGGGTGTTATGTGACAGGGTTAGACTGTTGTAAAGTAAGGAAAATAGACAATATATAATTGCATAAAATAACCAAACAGAACATTACCTTGTGTTGCCATGATTGAGTTTTTCAAGGACCTCTATCTATTATTGCAGATGCCTAAAAATAAATGAATAATTCAGTATTAACAGATGTTTCACCCCACAAGACTCAACAGCTATATATTTGTACAAGCACAGAAATACAAAAAGTTCAGGTCATGTTTTGCAATAAGTATCAGAGGGGCAGACAAATGCTTAATGAAAAATAAAAATGCCAAGTTATCACAGCCAGCACCTCTAGCTATATAGGGTTGCACAGGCATAATTAGTTGCTGCATCCGAAATCACCAGTATCTCATTAATATCCTGTAGGAGGTCAGAAAACTATTATAATCTTTAAGTCTGTTTGGAAGCCGTAGAAAAGGTCTTACTTGTATGCATGACATTCTTGAAACTGATATCTACAATACAGAAACCACTATCTATTCATACAGTGGTACTCCCAGTGCATAGTGTACACAGAGAATTATTTTAACGTTACAAAGTTGCAGTCCTATACTACAAACTTTCAGCAACTATAACACATGCCTTTTAGTTTATTTTGCCCATTTACAGAAAGCAGTGCCAAATGCAGGTTGCATGCCATACAAGTCTATACTCTTGACTTGAGACAAGCATTTATAGGTCTTTCACTATATCTTTACATTTGTTATCAATTCTAGTTTCACGTTTGCAGAGACGGGTGGCAGTTTACAATTTTATACCATTTTCATGTTCAGGTCCCCTAGACTAAACTAAAGGGATACCATTGTCATCAAAACAAGTTTCAAGAGATCATGCACCTGCAGTTTCATTGTTTAATTCACTGCCATTTAAAATCCCTTGTGTTTCTGTTTATGCAGCCCTAGCCATACCATCCCTGGCTGTGACAAAGCCCGCATGGGAACACAAAAAAAAATCCAAAAAAAAAATCTTCATTTAGGGTTATAATTGTATCTCCTACTCTGTAAATTGAACTTTAGTCAGACAGGAGGTTCCTGCAGGGTCTATAAGGCTCTTAACAGCAGGAGATAAATTCTGAAAATGTTCTATAAAGAAATCTAGAATATCTACATACCTTTCCAGGAAGGGTTTAGAAGTCATAAGTATACACATTACATTCTACACAAGTGTTTAGGAAGGCTGTGCAAGTAACATGCAGTCAGGTGTTACTAGGGCTGCATTAAAAAACACACAAAAAAAAACACAAGTGATTTAAATGGCATATAATTGAGCAGTGAGGCTTTAGGGGCATAATCTATATACCAAAACTACATTGAGCTAAAGTCTTTTTAGTGCATAGTGTCCCTACATGAAATCAGTCTAGTAATGCAACTGCCCTGGCAAATTAAAGGACCACTCTAGGCACCCAGACCACTTCAGCTTAATTAAGTGGTCTGGGTGCCAGGTCCTTCTAGGGTTAACCCATTTTTTTTTTTTATAAACATAGCAGTTTCACAGAAACTGCTATGTTTATTAATGGGTTAAGCCTACCCCCTAATCCTCTAGTGGCTGTCTCATTGACAGCCACTAGAGGCGCTTGCGTGCTTCTCTGATTTTCACAGTGAGAGCACGCCAGCGTCCATAGGAAAGAATTGATAATGCTTTCCTATGCGACCGGCTGAATGCGCGCACAGCTCTTGCCGCGTGTGCGCATTCAGCCGACGGGGCGGAACGGAGGAGGAGAGCTCCCCGCCCAGCGCTGGAAAAAGGTAAGTTTAAACCCCTTTCCCCCTTCCAGAGCCGGGCGGGAGGGCTCCCTCAGGGCACTATAGTGCCAGGAAAACAAGTAGGTTTTCCTGGCACTATAGTGGTCCTTTAAGTGCATGTAATAAGTGTTTGAAAAACTGTAAACCACTTAATTTGAATATTCATGTACAAGTCTTTAAAGAAGGATAGTTATTTAAACTGCAAAGAGTCCATGTATCTTTAGCTTGGTTAACCAGCCACTGAGCAGCTGTATGACCAGCTTATCAGAACAGATTTTACATACAAGTAAATGTGGCTCCTAAATTTTTCTTGCATGCAAGAGTAGCTTTGTAGAACAATGATAAAGTCACAAGTTCTATATAATCACCACAACAGAGACAAAATACAGTAATACTGCACACAAAAATAAATTTTTCATTTTACAAGGCTACATACATATATCACCTCTAAGCAAACATTGGGATTCCACTCACTTAAACAATAGGGCCATATCAAGTTAAAGGACCACTCTAGGCACCCAGACCACTTCAGCTTAATGAAGTGGTCTGGGTGCCAGGTCCTTCTAGGGTTAACCCATTTTTTTTTTATAAACATAGCAGTTTCAGAGAAACTGCTATGTTTATGAATGGGTTAAGCCTTCCCCCTAATCCTCTAGTGGCTGTCTCATTGAGCATTGTAAATGCTTTCCTATGCGACGGGCTGAATGCGCCCGCAGCTCTTGCCGCGCGTGCGCATTCAGCCCAGGAGGAGGATCGGAGGAGGAGAGAAGGCAGAGAGCTCTCCGCCCAGCGCTGGAAAAAGGTACGTTTTTACCCCTTTCCAGAGCCGGGCGGGAGGGGGCACCCTCAGGGCACTATAGTGCCAGGAAAACAAGTATGTTTTCCTGGCACTATGGTCCTTTAAGCACATTATTATGCCACAACTGAGACACACATGTAGAACAAGTGTTGAGAAAAGCAGTTCTCTTAAGAGAAAAATATAGAAAAAAATATTCTCCAATAGTAGCTGTAAAAACTTCCATCTATGCAACTAGTTTCCTTTCCTACCAGAGCATGACCAATACATTATTTCCTACAGCTAGTTCTGTTCAAGCACTTGCTTGGCATGTGGTCATCAGGGCAATTTTAAAAATGTAAAATAAAATATTAAAGTGTGATAAAACAGGCAAGACTCTAGTGTTTTATACACATAATGCATGGAGCATGTAGGATGGCTGTTACAACACATTTATCCAAATAACCCCAAGAGCAATTGCCCCCTATCAAATACCAGTAGTCTCTCGATAAACAGGGGACACGTCATTTCAAGATGGGTCAATTACCACAGGTTGTAAAGTCTATACACATTAGATCAGATGTGTTAAGACCTGTTTCAGCAAGATACTAAAAGGATTTCAACATGTTATATAGCACATCACTAAATGGCAGAAGCCATGCAGTTTAACTCCAGCTTTTTTCAGGACAGTTTGAACACTACACCACGTGCAGTAGTATACAGGAATAGCCATACAAAACTTGTGCCTAGTGTAAGCTTAGTTTTACACTGCCAATTCACAAGAACCTCCCCAGACAAGTGAATTAACTCTGAAAAAGCCACTACAATGGTGGACAACTTCCACAGACTTAAAACAAAAAATATCAATAAGCATGTTGCATTGCCTATATAGTATAAAATAGTGGCAGTGAATGTGACAAGCACCATAAGCAATATCTTGTATACTATACACCAGATTCCATATTTTACAAACGTAAAAGGCTGCAGAGGTGCTTATTTCCATTATTAGCATAACGGTAATGTGTAAGCTAGACTTAAACATTTGCACAAGGCTTACATTTATTGGATTATGTTGAAACACCAGTTATTCAACTAAACTGCAGTGCCACGGTTAAATTATTTTTTTTAAATTACAGTAAGCAGTCTAGAAATCATACGGTCTAACCAATAGTGTGCCAAGGACAAAATTCACAGACAAACCTATTGTGATTTGGCATCTTCAGTTACGGCTAAAGACCCTTCATTCCCTCTCCCCATTAAATGTTATCAAGTCCAAAGCCAACACTAAAGGCATACCAGCTCAAAACATTCAAGCTTGAGGAGACGTTACAGTGAATGCCAATGTGTGGTTGGGATATTACGGAGTAGTCATAAAAGCACATTGACACCAGAAAACACATGGTTAGCCAATCTGCATGGTATTGTGTGGCTGTGCAGGACAGCCAGACAGAATGTGATCTCGATTTAAAAACCTAAAAAGGAGTGTGGCATGTATGGTGTTTTTTTCCTCCTTGGTTTAATTCAGTGTATCAATGCAACTTTAAATCATGCTCTTCCCAACTCATACAGTAATAATGCAGCACAAAAATTCAGAAAACCAGACTGAAATGTGAACAACCTTTCACCCCCTCTGAAAAACTAACTCCACTACAGTTCATTTATGTTTGAAATTTGGCTAGTGTTACAACCACTAGAAACACTTTTTGGATCATGCCGATTTTTAATATTTTTAGAATTCCTAAATGGACTGCCATCTTCATTTAAAGGGTCAGTATAGGCACCAGAACAACTTTAGCTTAGTGAAGCAGTTTTGGTGTATAGATCATATCCCTGCAGTTTCACTGCTCAATTCTGTGCCATTTAGGAGTTACATAACTTTGCTTATGCAACCCTAGTTACATCTCCATGCATTAAACTTGCACAGCCTTCATAAAATAAAACTGTTTCCTTTAGAAGTTTCTCAGGCTCTGTAAATTTAACTTTAATCATACAAAGAGGGCACCTGCAGAGAGTTTAGAAGAATGTTAACAGAGCAGGAGATAAATTCTAAATTAAACAGAATGTGAAATAATGTAAACGTTAAATCTCATGTTGCAGGAAGTGTTTAGGAAGGCTGCCCAAGACTCAGTGATTTAACTCCTAAATGGCAGAGAATTGAGCAGTGAGACTACAGGGGTATGCTCAAAACACCAAAACTGCTTCATTAAAGGAGCACTATAGTCCCAGGAAAACAAACTTTTTTCCTGGCACTATAGGGTCATTAGGTCACCCCACCCTCAGGGCGCCCCTTCAGCCACTTACCTTTCTCCACCCCCTGCCGACATCAGATCTGAATGCACGGCAAGAGCCGCGCAATATCCAAACAGCCCATATGAAAGCATTACTCAATGCTTTCCTATGGACGCCCAGCAGCTTCTCACTGATTTTCACAGTGAGAGCCACTAGAGGCTGGATTAACCCTCAGTGAAACAGTTTCTCTGAAACTGCTAAGTTTTCAGCTGCAGGGTTAACCTGGGAACCTGGGACCCAGACCACTTCATTGAGCTGAAGTGGTCCTTTAAGCTAAAGTGGTTTTGAAGCACATAGAGTCCCTTTAAATGGAGAGGCTAGCCTATTTAGTAAATCTAAATATTATCCACCTAGCAGATTCCAAATAAATTAAATAAAATTAAACAGACTTTTCGGTGGGATTCCACTGGTTGATCGTGTACTCTTTTATAAACACAAACCACACATGGGAAAAGGGGGGGGGTGGGTGGGGGTAAGAGTTTGCATGTGGCATGTTTAACTTATGGTTTTAAAAACATTTTTAAAACCAGGACTATAGTTTGAGCCCCACCACCATTAAAAAGGCTATAATGAACAGTCATGTGTTGTCTCTCCTGACAAAGCACCACACCTTCAATATAAGTGTGATAAGCGGCTGAAGCCTACTCCTGTATGGGAGTTGTGTTCTCACAAACTGATGTATACCCTGTTGAGCTGCAAATACTGGGTGTGACATGTACTAAAAGCTATACTGTGTATACACAGGGGATTATTTGTTATAGCTATATAGGGACATTGTGGTCCTGTTTCCATGTATCTTCACACTTTGCCATTTCAAAAGGCAGAGCTGTCTTATGAAAGCATTTACAGTTTTCTTTGTAGTTTAGTACAAACATATGCAAAATGGGAATCGTCAACCGTGTATTCATGACTAGTATAATGTTAATAACCAAGCTATGAACACCTTCCACAAAACAAATAAACCACATCATTCAGCGGTAAAAAGATACAAGTATTGTAAGATTTAACCAACAAGGCTAGTATCACAATTATTGCTCTTCTCAACTTATTTTACTCTAGTGATGACCAGGTAAGCCCAGAAACAAAATTGTCTTGATGTCCAGTTTTAGATTATATGCCTGCATACTAAGCATTTGTAAAGTGAAGACAAGCTACCTCTAAAGAGATATTAAGCACAATAACTACAGTTTGTGGTTGATAATTTTGCAGGCAGTATAACCTGCACTTTCCAGTGTTTGACAGACAGCCCAATCATCTCAAACGTGGTCTAATTTATACCAATCATACAGAAAAGACTTTGCCAAAATCACAAGTGCAGCAGAGCGTATGTATCGCCTTAGTGTGCCAGATCTGATTTTTTTGGGTCAAACTGGAGACTGGACGATAGAGAAAAAAAAAAGGGTAGCAGTTTGTGGAAATATACACTTTCAGTTTGGGCATTTAATACAACAGTATTTTAGGTAGGGCACCACAGAAAACATGAACGCCTGATGAGATGTATTCAAACAGAATAATGTACCCCTTCAATGTTTAACAGAATACGTTTTAACTACTGGAAGCCTGTGCAAGTCACTTAATCGCATATCTCATGTGCAATAAAAGTAACTTTCCAGTCAAAGTAGTAGTGATACTGCAGGCATAATTGCGTTTAAAAAGTCCTCTTATAAACATGTTGTCTAGGCCTTTTCAATAAGTTACACACTAAAAATATTTTGCCAAGGAAGGAACTGTAAAGCGTCCACCTAACCAGATTATACCAAGTTAATCATACGTGGCAATGTTTGCTAGTTTGTATTTCTGCTATGCATACAAACTTTAATATCAGAGTGATCTGGCCTAAATAAAAAAAAGTTAATGCACAAAAAGGCATTGATCCACCATGCATTCTCAGCAGTTAGGGATGGAATTTCACATTTGCTCACATAAGCACTTTTCTACACGGCAGGGGAATGCAACTCTAGCTGGGAAGTAATTTCCCATTGAGCAAATGCAGTCTAACCCCTTGCTCCTCCCTCATTCATATGGAATTTGTCTTCCTAAACATTTCAAGAGGCAAGTCTTACTACAACAAAACAATCTCAGGATGGATTAATCCTATAAGAAAATTAAACTATGCACAGTAAATATGCCATATAGATGCAATTTAATGTTATTGTCACGTTCCAACTATCTCAATCTTCATCAAAAGTGGCTGGTTGATTTATTTCCCTAAAGTTGGGCAGAGAAAACATGAAATAAAAGGAGTGCCAAACAGCAGTTTTGGAGTCTCAAAAGCTCCCTTAAAAAGTTTCACGCAAGTCTTTGTATTTCAGCAATTTAATACCCAACACAAAAAGTGGCCAACTCTCTACCCAAGCTAGAGGAGTCAAGTCTTCAGTCACTGAAATGTTTAATGTACAAACAAGTTTGATATTGGAACGGATGCACACAACTGTACTTGTAGTTTGGCAACAGTCTACTGTTTCTTACACGTTTGCAAACCTAGTTGAAGAAAGGCAGGAGCAAGATATGGAGCCTTCTGTTATTTCAAAGCAAACATTTTTCTGTCTCTAGAAGTCACATTCCTCCTTAGTCTTTTATCTAGTGTATGCATACTTACCAAATGCCTTAGAAGACAACACACACACACACAGGATGTATTTTGATACAACCTAGCTTTAAAAATTTTTCTTTTTTTTTTTACAAAATGTATATAGCAGCATACCAACTATAGTTTAGATTTTTGAAGCATCAAATGTAAATAGGCACTTGCCATTACACTAGCACAATCTGCCATTGTTCCTTGCTTAAAACTTCTGAAAGAATAAGAGTGGGAGGGAGAATATCCCTACTTCCTTTCACCTCGCCCTAGACAAAAGACATTTTAAAAGTACAGGAGTTCTAGAAGGGAGGTCATATTTCAGCCTGGAGGAAAAAAAGAAAAACACACAAGAACACCATATAGCAGTGCAGATTAAGGTTTCGGGCACAAAAGACTTGCAGCACTGGAATCCACACTAAATACTAGCGCCACTATATTCAGAACATGATGCCACAAAAATAAAACCTTTTTTTCCCCTATGCCTTTAGTTGGTACTTACAGGCAATTTTCAACCAAGATACTGCCCTCTATCTTTACCACAAGCAATGAACAATGTACACAGATGTACTGTAGGCATTTAATACAAGTACACACACTAGGGAACACATTAAGAAAGTCTTATGAAGCTGTACCAAGAGAGTCCAACGTGTTATACCTATCACTGCCCAGGGTGCAGTGCCCTTATTTCGGTGTAACAACCGATATTGGAGATGGACTAGACAACAGCACACTATTCTGATTTGAAAGGGTTTTTCAAGTTAAAAACCAAAAATTTCGGGAAAATAAAATGCAGGAACAGTAAGTTACTATTTACCAACCATCACAACACTACATTTTCCACAATGTCTTACCAACATATGCTCACTGGCCAACAGCAGTCACAGTTAATGTCCCCATAAAAGCAGACTTCCCAACTAGAACTACCATTTACAGGAACCGGAGAGCTACCGTGTGGGCAACCCGCTAGGGCTAATATTTGCCCAGGGCGTCACGATTTCATAGCCATATGGGGGGCTGCAACTATTGATAACCAGCCAATCAGAACTTCAAACGTACTCTATACAGAGTGCAAGCTCTCGGACCCAAGAAATGTTAGACACCTTAATTTACAGCATGAATATACACTCGTCTCTTGGAACCGATTGTGTCTTGAGTTAGAAACAAACATATGGCGATACAAGTACACCCACACGTTGTAATAATCACAACACTAATGTAAACATCCTCCCTGGACCCAGATGGAGGGGGTGGGTAGGGAAGATACTCGGTTTTGCAGGGATGCGGCCATTACACGACTCACTAAAAACAAATTAAAGTGTAGAGCAGGGAATCCAGCCCTGCTTTGCAACAGAGTAGATTGCAAGCTCTTTGGAGCAGGAATTAGGGGTAAAGACGCAGGAACGTGCACGGACCCTGCAATCTGAAAATCACACAACCAGAGATATATATATATATAGGGCGACCAAAAAAAAGCAAAAACCCGGGCTGTTGCATGATGGGAGTTGTAGTCCTACAACAACTGGGGACATAGTTTTTGGCCAGCCCTGATCTACATCCTTTACCAGTTATCCTATAGCTCGCTCCCTGGGAGGACAATATATCAGGAGAGCCGTATACCGTGTGCTAGGCGTCCCCAGGCTCCGCTGGTTCCGGTTTGAGCTGATCCAGTCACCCGGTGATGGCCGCCGCCGCCTCCACCAGCCCGGGCTGTGTCCGTCCCTCCTCCACTGACCGGCTGCTGGAAGCCGTATAGCTGTCGTCGTACCTGGGAGGTACCAGAGTTTAACCGTATTCAGATATTAAATGTCTCCCAGCGCTTCGTGCAACTCCCGGCCGAACACACACCTCACACCCTCCGCGCAACGCGACATAGAGGCTTAAAATGGCGCCGCACGCTCTGCTTTTATATCAGTGCATTCGGCTCACGCCTGCGTATATCCTTCCGCCCCCTCTAACCACACAGCAGGAGGGAGACAGCAGAGATGGGAGAAGGGGCGGAGTGATCCCAAGAACCTAACAAATAGTGCTACCCAGACACGAAACAACTTACCGTGCTAGGTCGGTAGTATTATCACTGTGGTTGTGGTTGAGGCAGTGTTAGGTATAAACCTTTCTGGGTGATATGCCGGTTTAATTGCACGTAAATGTATTCATTTACAGTAACCCCCCTCCCTCCCGGTGTTCAGATAATTAGGAGGGTGGGGTGGGAGCTGTGCATTTACATTACATGGGATCTCTTACACATGCTAATTACACTGCTACTTCATAAATACACACACTGAAATAAATACACTGCAAACTTACAGCATTGTCTGCAGAGCCTCACTGCAGCACACACATACTGGGATACATACTGTGCTATCTGCAGGAAGCTGAGCTAGCAGACCCATCCCACCCTCCAGGATACCACCTGTCCCTACCAACCTACAGGGCTGGGGTACAACCACTAACTTAGGTCGTATTTAATTCTCTATACATTGGCCCCTGTTGTGGGCTGGTGCATATAAAGTATACAGGCTTCATATGCTGCAGGAGAGCAAATCGAGTGTGTAGAGTCCATATGCTGCAGGAGAGGATTGAATCAAACAAGATGGACATAAAGGAAGTAGCTTCGTTCATCTAGACCCCCCCCCCAATTGCAGCATACGAAGTCTACATACTGAAGGGCAGCTCTCCATGCACTGTTCATTAGTATAATTAAACTATAAGAAGTGTCAGAGAAAGCCTGGATAGTTAAATAATCCTAGCATTCAGAGCCCCCATAATTCACCTGACTGTGACTGTAAAGCAAAAAGGGCTGCTTTACAGTCACTGCAGACACAGGAAAATGCATCTTTTCAATGTATCTCAACTCATCTCCAGTGGCTGCTGGTATACGTTGATCAATTCAAATACTGTACTGGAGGTCCGCCTACTAAATAAAATGATTTAAACATAATAAAATGACTGCCAGCACCCTGGGCTGTGCTCTCTCTCAGGTAAGAGCCAGGAGGAGGTGTCTGCTCTGCCCTTCATTGTATGAATTGGAGAGTGCGGAGTGATCCGTACAAGGGTGATGTAGCCCACGCACCTTTTCCCCCGGGTTGGAATGTGGGACTGGAGGAGGGCAGAGCCAGAAACAAAGAGGGAGGGGGCGGGGGCGGAGAGGGTTAACTCTTAAACCACCGGAAACTCCCTCCCACCCCCCAACATAGAACTAGATGTAATGTTTATCTGCCTGGATACTACCAGTGTGCTTCTCAGTGCTGTGACTTAAAGTGACATGGAGAGCTCCTCTGTATGGGCATTCCTCCTCTCTTTTATTGTTACAGCATTGTTACTTAGTATCTCATAGGATTGAGCAGTGTGGACCACACAGCAATGACCCATGAAAAGTCACATGCTACAAGAGAAAAAAAAAACCATGTATCAGAAAGGACTCACAAAGGGACTGTTTTAATTAGTTGATTTTCCTCCTGCTGCACATCTATTCTACATATTGTTGGCAGTATGTTTCATGGGCCACCTGTCAGCAAGAAGTTATTTGTCCAGGGTAACATTTTATATCTGGCAGAGCTAGGGGTGTTGCTCATTTCCCAGAAGGTTGATGCTTAAAGAGCAGCAGGTTAAAATCGTTAAGGTTTGTTTACATTGTGCCAATGACATCAGAGTCAATTTTAATAAGTGGCATACATTACACAAGCATGCTGCTTGCAGTATGTCTGACAAAGCTCAATTAACTGCAATGCCATTGACTTAGTGACCCACTCTGCCATTGTAATAAAATATATAAGAGCAATTCTGCAAGATAACTCAATTTGCCTCCTTACAGAATCAGCACACCATGGTGCTACTGCAGCAAACAATGTATTGTGCTGTTTATGAGGTGTCATTCGTCCAACTAAAGTTGCAATATTCGCCATATTTCCCAGGACACAGTACCTATTTATGTTAATGGACAGAACAAGATATGTGTTGTCTAGTAATATACAGATTTCAGATGTTGCTGGATGGAAATCAAGGCATTATTAATCCTGTAGTATTTTAGTTCTACAGTTGGCAGGACAGCAGCATTCGGGTGCTGCACATTATTATGTATAAATGATGTGTCCAGGAAAGACATGGTGGATTTTGGTACCATGTCCGAAACACTGGGATTTGATTTTGGGTCCAAAGCCAAAGAAAAAAAAATGATTTCCCAGCCATGGCAGCACTACTCCTTGGTTAGCTGCTACCACCACTCCCGTTGCACAGGAATAAAACTTCTTAGTCAATAAGTAGTCCACCTGACTTAAGGTGGACTCCCAGTTCTTTTCCTGGTCTCACTCCCTTGAACTTATGAGGGTTTTAAAACCTATTTTTGTGGTAGCAGACTGTTCCTGGTTGCTTCTGCACGTCTGCTTTGGCTTATATAGATTTGTATCCTACTATATTTTTAAGGCAGCAGTACCATTTTTATATGCTGGTTTTGGTTTATTTTTATTGATTTTTTTCCTATGTCTTATATGTTCAGTGATTACAGTGATAATTTTGTGCTTGTAATATCGTTTTTTTTTAAAGAGGCTTTTTCTAATAGATCTATATTTCATTTAGTGTTTCTTTTTATGGCCTCCCTAGCCTGGGTAAAAACATAGGTAACAACCTAGAGATTCAAGAAATGCTAATATTTTTTGTCTACTTGGTAGTCAGGCTGTAATAAAAAGAGTGCTTTCTGAGGATTTATTTCTGTCTCCTTGAAGATCCCGAGCGTTGTGGTGGTCAAGAGAATAAGGCAGAATCACTGTGAAACCTGTGCTAATTTGGTGGCAGAAAGGTGGCAGAAGGGAAGTGACCTTGCTTCCAGTGCATCAAAGTGGCAGCAGATTCTGCTTTTGCCAATACTGCAAGTGCCAGCCCCGCAGATATTATTGAAGACCAGCGAAATAAAATCTTAATCCGGGAGACAGGAAGATTCTGAGAGCAATACCTTTGATGTGGGTTTTGAAGGAAACCATACATTCAGAGAAGAGGAAGTCACACTCATGGGGTTTGATGAGAGAAAGACTGAAGCCCTGATTGAGGCTGTCAGAAAGACCATAGGCCTTGAGGAGTACTTTACACAACAGCCTTGCAGTAAACATTTGCCCGTCTTAAGAAAAAGGAATTGACTTTCCCTTTCCTTGACACCATGAAATCCCTTATCCAAGAGGAATGGAATACATTTGAAAAGAGAGTGGTGGTGGTGCAGGGCAAGTGGTCCAGGCTATAACCATTTAAGCAATCTAAGTTTGCCACTTGGATCTCAGCTCCCAAAGCAGATGCTGCAGTGGTTAGACTAACAAAAAAACAAAACAATCACTCTTCCTCTAGATGACTCTGGCTCTTTGAGGGAATCTATGGAGCGGAGGATTAACACCAATCTGGCCAAGGCTTATGTGGCAGCCGGTGCCATCCTGCAGCAGCTCTGACGTCAGTGGCCCAAGCTTTTAAACAATGGGCTGAGAATCTAGAAGCTGATATTCAAGATGGTGTGAGCAGATCCCACCTCTTTAGATCTATGGAGGATGATCTGGCAAATGAATTCTACACAGACGCTTTTATTTATTTGGTTAGATCTACAGTCCTTAATGTGGCAGCCCATAGGGCTCTGTGGCTCAAAGCCTGGGAGGCAAATACAGCCTTAAAATAATGCTTTGCTGCCTAGTGACCAATGGAATAGATGGATTTCCAATCCAGATAAGTGTCTCTTTTGTGACCCTAAACAGTACAGACTAGGGAAACAGTCTTTTCGTTATCAGACTTGGAAAGGTGTCCAATCATCCAACAGAGGAAGCCAAGGAAGAGGCGCAACATCCTGTCAAAATAAGAAATTCTGACTCTATTCTTGGAGGCAGACTTCCCTGGTCCGCCAAGATTTGGAGCCATACAGTCAACAACAAGTGGGTAACAAAAGTGGGCTTTACTCCTCCAAGGACATTGTTCTGCTCCACCTTTGCAAAGGATGTTCAGAAGAGGCAAACTTTTATAGAGGTCATGAATACTGTTCTTCTTCAAAGAGAGATATGCCCCATGCTAGAAAGAAGTGGTTTCAAGGATTCTTCTTGAGGCAGTTCTTGGCTTCCAAAGGGGGAAAGAGCTTGGAGACCAATCCTGGATTGTCATTTCGAAATACTTTCTTGCATGCAAGGCACTTTAGGTTGTAATCCTTAGTCTCCATTGTGAAAGTAGTGTCTCAAGGGGCTAATCTCCATTGATCTAAAAGACAGTTATTTACACATACAAGCTACTGAAGACTATGAGAGGTTTCTGAAATTTTCCCTAAATAACAAGAACACGCAATTGAGGGCTATTCCATTTAGTCTGAGTTCATCCCTCTGTCTTTTCCAAAGTCATTGTAACCCTCAATGTGGCAATAAGGCAGACATTTTTCACAAACTAAATGATATTCAGGTGCTGACACAAGACATCCTCACATTGCTATCCCATCAAGCAATTGATAGGTCCATTCTGTAACAAAATGGATGGGTGATAAACCAGAGAAGAATCAGTTGATACCCACTGAGAGGATGGTGTATCTGGGAAATCTCTTCGATATAGATCAAGGTTCTCTATGTCTGTCAAGGGACAGAGGTATTTGCCTGAAGAATCAAATCAAGAATTTGAATAATTTATGCAAGACTATACATGAGCCTTTCATCAATGATAGGCTTAACTAAGTTTCACAATTAGATCTCAGGATCCCTCAGCACTTATCTTGAATCAATAAAGTGTCCAGGATCTCAATCAACTAATCTTTATAATTCCCAGAGTCAAACAGTCTTTCGAGTTGTAGTTTTTGGAGAACAATCTGTTCCAAGGTTTTCCTCTAGGAGATATGGTATGGAAGACTGTCACCACAGATGCCAGTCTCTCAGGTTGGGAGCTCATCTGGACCAGATCTGCATTCGGGGAGTTTGGCCAAGATCTCTGACTTATGGCAGTTTATGAAGTACTCCACCAACTGAAACCCCAGATTCAGCCTCAGTGGGTGAAAGTCCAGGTGGACAATCTGAACCATTAGGGAGGCACTTGCAGTCTGAAAATGATGATGGTCATGGCCTGCCTCCCTTATGTCTTTGGCGCAATTGAAACTTCTGGGTTTATCAGCAGTGTACCATCCAGGTACTTTGAACCTCAAAGCGGATTTCCTAAGTTAACATCAGATCCTTCCAGTTGAGTGGTGGATTGCCAGATGGGCGTTCCAAATGATTGTTAATCATTGGAGTCCTCTGGAGGTCGATTTGATGGCCAATTTGAAGAACAGGCAAGTTCAGAGGAGCCAGACCCAATAAAGCTCCAGATAGACATCCCACGCTGTAAATATTTCTATAATACCTGTACACTATTTAGGTTTTTTGGAGCAATTTTGAATCTTTTTATTATTATTTTCACTCTCTAGTCCTTATCGAATGGAGATTAGTTTGATATCTTTATTATAAGATTTCATGTGTATATAGCTAATATTTAATCATCATTAGACTACTCTATATTTCCAAGTAGCACAGCGAGTCACATTTGTCTTTGACATTGTGATAAGCATATTGTGTATTCTTTTGTTTTCTATACATTACCCTTGGGGTTAGGCCCCTTTGAGATCCCTGGAGTCTCTTTTTGGTACTTTGGATAGTGGGTTATAACTGGACCATAGACACATGTCGTTGGTACCCAGAGGTAATATACTGTCTTCTATATATACACTTTACTAAAATGTGTGATAAAGGACAATACATTTTCTACTGTAATTCAGAATTGTAAAACATGATATTTTATGAGGGGGGTGGGGAGCTAAATAATCTGTATATTTGCATGCCAATTACACAGAGACTTAAATTATATGTCAAAATTGCAAAAATAGCTGATGGAATACGGAATAAACCAAAACTACTGCTGAAAATGCTCTGTAATTTGGATGGGAGTGGGTCAAATTATTACATGCCTAGATTCTAGGTTTGCCAGATTACAAGTGTTATCAATTAATTATTATTTAGAACACTCTTTGTGGTTAAGTGATTTCAGTTCCTGTATATTGTTTGTCAATCTTTGTTTTATTGAGCCAATATATAATAGTTAAATGTTCAAAAACCTAAATTTTTGAAAAAGCAATGATAAATAACGTTTGCAAAAGATAGACATATGTATCAATATTAAAATAATAGAAAGAGAGAGTAACCAAACTGGTAAGAACAGACTATAAAAGAGACCACTGCAAAGGCTTTGATGTACACCAATAGACCGGTAGCAGTAAGAGCCCTGTTTTCCTTTTTTTGTTTTAAACCGTTTGACCAAAACATTAAAAGACTCTTTGCATCATAACCACTACAATAAAATATAGTGTTATTTTAGGTTATTATATTATTTTGGGGAGAGTGAGCTGAGATTTTTTTTTTTTTTATTCTTTATTTTTGTCTCAACACACAGAACGGCATCACAGTATATTTCGGCTCGCAAAGGGGCCAGAAATAAAAAAAAATGTATACATTGCATGTTACAGAAGAGAAATGGTGTTACAGTTTAAATTACATTCGTGGTCTGCTGCTCATTGTCAAGTTTTCAGTTTTGGTGGACATATCATGTCCATTTAACCATAACAAAACAAAGCAAGAGAAAACAGACCCACATTCGATAAAGCGTTCTGTGTGTCTACAAGGAACAGTTAGTTACGGTGTGCGTTAGTTTGGTTTTCAGTGCCGTCTGTTGCATTTGGACTGAACTTATGTGGTGTAGGTCGCTAAGGTCGTGTATAAATGTTCATGGCACTAGCCCGTATTATCATCTCACCCTGTGTGTTTCCCTATCCAGGTTCCCTATCAAATCACTTTAGTTTCCAATCGGGTTCTTTCATCAAGCCCTGGGGATTTGTGTGTTTAGGTTCTGGAGTAAGGTCTTTGTTTGGGGTGGTCGTAATACTTCTATGTTGGCTGCCGTGCCAGCGCCATATTTTAGTACTGCCCTTCTAACTGCTACCTGTTAGGATCTGATTTTGTGGCGTGCGTGAGGCAGTGAGGTGTTTATGGGCACTGTCTCTCTGTTTGTTTCCTCCTTCGGTCTGTTCAGAGGAGGGGAGGATGGAGTGAGCTGATGGTAGTGGTGGGGGACGACGACAACGCTGTTCCGTGAGCCGGTCGCCTTGCGTTTGTCGGGGCGCGCGAAAAGCTGAGATTTTGGGCACATCCAGTACAAAAAGGACTCTGCTATTTTAAAGAACTTTGCCATTTGTCCAAACACAAAATCTTCAGTTATCATTTGCACTGAAATTAAAGGTGCTAATAAATAACCACAAATAGGGTAAGCACGCAGTAAAAGACTCTTTCCAACACCGTGAAAAAGGCTTCTTACCTGGACACTCAAAATAAAACTCATCTTACATTTTGCACAAGCCTTTAATGCCTGCATGGCTAATATGAGTCCTGCCAGAAGGATAACGCACCTAGACAGCTATATTAGAACTATACAGGGGGTGCAGAATTATTAGGCAAATGAGTATTTTGACCACATCATCCTCTATATGCATGTTGTCTTACTCCAAGCTGTATAGGCTCGAAAGCCTACTACCAATTAAGCATATTAGGTGATGTGCATCTCTGTAATGAGAAGGAGTGTGGTCTAATGACATCAACACCCTATATCAGGTGTGCATAATTATTAGGCAACTTCCTTTCCTTTGGCAAAATGGGTCAAAAGAAGGACTTGACAGGCTCAGAAAAGTCAAAAATAGTGAGATATCTTGCAGAGGTTCATTCAAAATAGTCAACAGGGTCGCAAGAAGCGTGTGGAAAAACCAAGGCGCAAAATAACTGCCCATGAACTGAGAAAAGTCAAGCGTGCAGCTGCCACGATGCCACTTGCCACCAGTTTGGCCATATTTCAGAGCTGCAACATCACTGGAGTGCCCAAAAGCACATGGTGTGCAATACTCAGAGACATGGCCAAGGTAAGAAAGGCTGAAAGACGACCACCACTGAACAAGACACACAAGCTGAAACGTCAAGACTGGGCCAAGAAATATCTCAAGACTGATTTTTCTAAGGTTTTATGGACTGATGAAATGAGAGTGAGTCTTAGGGGGCCAGATGGATGGACCCGTGGCTGGATTGGTAAAGGGCAGAGAGCTCCAGTCCGACTCAGACGTCAGCAAGGTGGAGGTGGAGTACTGGTTTGGGCTGGTATCATCAAAGATGAGCTTGTGGGGCCTTTTTGGGTTGAGGATGGAGTCAAGCTCAACTCCCAGTCCTACTGCTAGTTCCTGGAAGACACCTTCTTCAAGCAGTGGTACAGGAAGAAGTCTGCATCCTTCAAGAAAACATGATTTTCATGCAGGACAATGCTCCATCACACGCGTCCAAGTACTCCACAGCGTGGCTGGCAAGAAAGGGTATAAAAGAAGAAAATCTAATGACATGGCCTCCTTGCTCACCTGATCTGAACCCCATTGAGAACCTGTGGTCCATCATCAAATGTGAGATTTACAAGGAGGGAAAACAGTACACCTCTCTGAACAGTGTCTGGGAGGTTGTGGTTGCTGCTGCACGCAATGTTGATGGTGAACAGATCAAAACAGAATCCATGGATGGCAGGCTTTTGAGTGTCCTTGCAAAGAAAGGTGGCTATATTGGTCACTGATTTGTTTTTGAATGTCAGAAATGTATATTTGTGAATGTTGAGATGTTATATTGGTTTCACTGGTAATAATAAATAATTGAAATGGGTATATATTTGTTTTTTATTAAGTTGCCTAATAATTATGCACAGTAATAGTCACCTGCACACACAGATATCCCCCTAACATAGCTATAACTAAAAACAAACTAAAAACTACTTCCAAAAATATTCAGCTTTGATATTAATGAGTTTATTGGGATTAGTGTCACTAATAATATACTAGATTGCCTACTTACAATCAGATGAGGATGGTGATGGGCTCTGGCTGCAGTATTGCTCCACTGGTCTGGTGTAGAACAGGATCTCTGGAGGCTGTTTGTAACTGTGGTCACAAAATTCAATGTTCTGGGAGAACGGGAAGCAGCTCCATTTTCTGGGGCCTCTTACATAGCTCAAGGTCTGGGCCCCAGAGCCTGACGGTGAGTATGCCCATAAAGCCCACCCATAAGTCCACCTACATGTTCCACCCATGAGTTCGCTCACAGGGAGTGGAGTGTGTAGGGGATGTTTTATGTGTTACTGTAGAGGATCTAATGTGTGTGCTTATGGAATGTAGTGTTTAGGGATACCAGTTTGTGTAGGTGATGCAGTGTGTATGTAGTGGAAGCACTGTGTTTTTGTGTAAGGGATAGAAAGCAGTGAGTGTTTGTGTATAAGGGATGAATTGTGTGTTTCTTGTTGTGTGTAAGGGATGCATTGTGTGAATCTGTGTTTGTATGCATAAGGGATGCAAAGTGTGTTTCTGTGTATGTAAGGGATGCAGTGTGTTTCTGTGTATGTAAGGAATGCAGTGTGTGTGTCTGTAAGGGGTGCGTTAAGTGTGTGTAAGAGATGCATTGTGTTTCTGTGTGTGTGTAAGAGAAGCAGTGTGTGTTTGCATGTGTGTGTAAGATGCATTGTGCGTTTCTGTGTATATGTGCAAAGGATGTATTGTCTTTATGTGTAAGGGTTGCATTATTTGTTTCTCTGTGTGTAAGGGAAGCACGTTGTGTTTCTGTGTGTATAGGGATGCATTGTGTGTGTGTGTGGTGTGTGTGTGTGTGTGTGTGTGGGGTGTGAAAGAGCTCCCTGTCCTGCCCCCTGTCCTATAGAGCTCTCCCTTCCATCCCTTAGAGATCTCCCCTGCCCCTTAGTGGTTTCTCCTCTCCTCTCCCCCCTACCTCCTTTAGTGGTCTCCTTTTATCCCCGACTTTCCATTAGTGGTCTCTGCTGGGAGGTGAGGCAGTGCAGCAGCCGTCTGAGCGCTCTCTACAGAGCACTCAGACGGCTGCGGCATTTAAAGGGCGGCGATGGGGGCGCAGGGCACCCCCTCCTACATGGCGCCCTAGGCGGCTGCCTAGTTCGCCTTATAGGAAACGCCGGCCCTGTGTCAGGAATAGACATTTGTATTCCTGACAAAAATTGTTCTTTTAATTATTTTTTTTTTTTTTTTTTTTATATATTCTTTATTTTAGTTATACAAGCAAGATCTTGTACAAAGGTTCTGAGCATAGGTTAGAAGCGTGACACATATGTACAAAGAGACAATTCTATCCAAGACAACATTGGTGTTACCAAAATGACTCACTTTTGATATTTATCACGTAATATTGCAGATCAAGATCGTTAGAGAAATTTTTTTCACATTAACGCCAGTATAGTTGAACAAAGTAAATAATGTAAATAAAATACCAGATAAAAGGCAAGGAAATGACTATCCGACTTTTCACATCAGTCAGGGATTCTACATGTGGTGCGGTCTAGTCTCATTGCTAATAGATCTAGTGCAATTCTTAACTGGGGTCTCCCATTCCAACAATAGACTAATTCATAACGTGGGGTCCTTCAGAGGAGGTGTAGGGATGAGTGGAATTAAAGGGGGAGAACTATGTACAAAATGAAGGAATAGACAGTGAGCAGAGAGAAACCGCACATCCAGATGTAGTCCAGAGAGAAGGAACGAGAAAGGGAGTGTAAGGGAGGGATTAGGGAGAGTGTTTGTGACTCTTGTCTTAATAAGAATATTCAGATTCTGTGAGAAAACAAAACCCAACTGCATCCTTATATGTCTCCATTCAGCCAATTGTTAATTCTTTCTATTTCAGTGGATCATAAACTTGTTTAGCACGTGGGAGATAAATGAACTGATATTTATCTATTTCAGACAAAAATAAGTGAATTTCAATATATTGGGCCTAGCAGCTAAGAAACCCATTGCATTAAAGTATCCCACCAGTAAACACATCAAGCACCTTAACAATTACAGTGCCCTGGCGCCCTCCCTGGATAAATAGTCTGTACAGAGTTTCTATTAACTACTTTGCTGTAGTGGTTATGGTGCTTCAAGGGTTTCCTTTAAGATATACCAAAATTGAGATGGAGGTGTACTCAAACCAGGAATTTTAATCATATCCTGAAAATCTTTTACATATGTACAATGTATTAAACATAGGCAAAAGTGTACCCTTTAAGATCACTTTATTTCCCTACCGTTATCTACAATCCTATAATTGGCCTTATTTGTAAAACACAGAAACCTGCAAAAGTAAAATTAATCATTTGTCAAATGGATTGTGCCTGGAGTTGGAAATATCATCATGATTTATACATAACCACTTCATATTTGCATTATGAAAAGGTGGGGATTTCTATTTTCCTCTTTTATTCACAGACTCAGATTGTATTTTCAAGCAGGGTTGTAAGATTATTTATTTGATTAACCTTAGTTTATAAACAAGGTGTGTCACTCACAAGGATGAGTAAATGAGTGCATGTTTTCACTTAGTGATTTCTTTAAAGTGTATACTGTTTTCAGCCATTTAGTCATGGACTTGAAACTCACTTCTCCAGACATCTGGCTGCAGAAACTTCCTGCTTTTTATTGAATACAGGAAGCAGAAAATGCTATATCTTGCCGTCAACACAGCAAACCAGTGTGTATGAAGACAGAGTTTCATGCCAGAACTATCAACATCCACTGGATACAAAAGCAAATTATGGAATTTTAACCTTCTGGGAGCTGCTAGAAACACGACAAGAAACTTTTGCAAAGAAGGAGTTAATGAATGTTGCTATAGCAAGCGATTGGCTTAATTTACCCAAATTTATATTGAATCTTGAACATGTACTTTTCCTTTAACATCATAATCTCCAGTGCATTATTCACACAATTTTAATGTATCACTGAAATAATTTCATTAGTTTCAAATTCATAGTGTGTCAGCAGTGCACTGATATAATGCTGGTCCAGTGTTAGTTAAATTCTGTTTTAAAGAGACGGTCCTGATATGTCATTGTTTCTGAAGGAGTTTCAACTATTCATAAATCACCAGGGAGTTTGTTTTAATCCAATGACTCATGTAGCATACACCAAAGCTGTGTCTATACATTTCTTGAATGACAACATTTTGGTGCTCAACCATACACTACATGTATTTGAATATGCTGTGTGTGTGTGTATCATGGGTTGTCAACCTGGTCCCTACCGCACACCAGTGGGCGTTTTGGGATTCCAGGTGGGCGGTAGTAGAAAAAGGTTGACTACCCCAGTGTATATAGTGAATATATAATGCTGCAGTATGGAAAAATAATGTCATCAAGGTATTATGGAGATATAAACAAATGGATGGCACAAGAACTATGAGATTGCCTTTTCTTCCTGTAGTATATTATTTAGCAATATACATCATCTTTATATATTTCATGTTTTTTGTTGTTTGTTTGTTTAATTCAGTCAGGGCAGCACCTCAGATATACAATATAATTGCTCTGATTTGTACAAGACTTAGACATGAAAAACATGGTTCCATTTTCAACCAGACCTTAACTTGCTTTAGAAGTTTTTATCTCCTGCTCCGTACATTGAACTTTAAATCACAAATAGGAGGTTTCTAGAAGACTTAACAGAGCAGGAGATAAGATATTCTAAATTATTAGAGACTGTGCAATACAGGAACATAGAGTATCTAGGTTTTCAGGAAGTGTTTAGGAATGTTGTGCAGGTCACCTGCAGAGTGGTTTGAGCAGAGTTGTTTAAACTCCTAAATGACAGAAATAATCATGAGACTGCAGGGGCTAAAATATGCACCATTAAGGTAAAGTTGTTTTGGTACCTCTTCCTCTGTTATCTTGACAAAGGAAGTCTATTGCCTTAACAATCCATTATTAAAAGGAACACTGTAATGTTAGGAATACCAAACTGTATTGCTTACACTACACTACAGTGTCCCTGTCCCTATAAATGTATGTCCACTCCCCTCCCCCACCAGTGCTGGCTCGGTCTCCTCCTCCTCTCACAATGTCATGCAGATGGAGGAACCTGTTGCGCATGCATGACAAGTGCATTGAAACAATACTTTCTATGGTGAATTTGAAAAATTTAGATGTCCTCAGCAAAGATTGACAACACACACCAGGAGCACAAGCAGCGGGGTGGAGCTGGACCGCCATGCTGAGTGGTTGCATAGACAGAGGGCTTTTCATATAACTCGACTTAAATCTCAAAAAACTGTTGAAAAACCTGGGTTACCGTCTCAATATGGCGGCGTCGACCTCAATATGTCAGCTGTAATCATACCTCCACATTTTCGATGCTGTCCTCCCCACTGACTTGGAAGAAGACCTGCTGCAAGGCGTTTGATTGTCTCTGTGCACTATTCTGGAGCCATATTCAGACAAGAGCCGATTTACCTGCGAAACACTCGCTTCCAAGAGCTGCCGCTAATGCTGCAAGAGCACAGGCATATGCTGAGATCTTACCCAATAATGTGCTACCATACACATTTAGGATTCAGCGTTGGGTTTGCTTGTTGAATTTACTCGGTGATAGTTCTCTAGACAGTTAATTCTGTTATGTTTAAGCTTTTTCTTCTATCCACTTTACCAGCGAATATGTCTATTTATGTCAATTAAGTGTATGTGATGCTATACTTATTATTACTAAGCACAGCAAAAATATTATTTCTCTCCGAAAAAAGTGCTATACACGTGTATGACTTTCTATGACATACTCTCTTTCTCTGATTATCTTACAAATGCTGTTGGGGCATCGCAAAGCTGTATGTAATTTTCAAGCACATCAAAAATAAAGAATAAACGCATACTTTTTACCAGCTAATGGTAATCACGTGGCAGTGGAAAATCACCAGTAACCATTCACCCAATTTAGAGGGTATATAAACAAGCAGTGTGGAACTAAGGATTATTGAATTATACACCCAGCTGAGGAAGCTACAAACAGTAGTGAAACGCTTTCCGGTATTTTACATGGACATTGTCCCTTTATTGTTTTTATAATTGTTGAATAAATTCTATACTTTTATCCTGGCTTCCAGTTTTCCACTACTGCTTACTACCTACAAGGGAGTGTAGTCACTAACTACACAATACGCTATGATAGAGCCAGAGAGGCTCTATGTATGCAAGTATACTATTCTAACATCAACTGTGCTACTCTATGTTTTATATATCACCCCCAGGATAGAACACATTCCCTGTAGGGGTGGGTCGTCTGTACGTACCCGGACGCTATTCATACCAGAGCTAGGTTTTTAGCTCTATGTTTGTGAGTTTTTATGATCTATATTTTTTTTATATATATATATCCTGCATTTGCACAATTTATATTTATAGGTCTTGATACCATCAGATACATTACCTATATGATAACGTGGTTCAATCTTTTACTATTCCAGTGGTGATTATTTAATTAATCTATTTTATTTGTTATAAGCGCTGCATTCTTAAACTTATTGCTTAAAAAAAAAAAAATAGAACAGAAGCAGCCCACAATACAGACACAAAGATTCACAGACACACAGTCCTCAATACAGAGTTCCACAGAGATACTCACAGGTTCACAAAGATACCTTACATAGTTACATAGCTGAAAAGAGACTTGGGTCCATCAAGTTCAGCCTTCCTCACATTTGTTTCTTGCTGTTGATCCAATAGAAGGCAAAAAACCCAGTCTGAAGCGCTTCCAATTTTGCAACAAGCTAGGAAAAAAATTACCTACTGCAAGAATTACCATTTCAGGCCGATACACAGATACACAATGCCAGACATTCATAAACACATCAATACATGCAGCTAGATTCACACTTTGATATGTCACTTTGATATAGGTAAGAAAACTTACTTTAAAAATGTTCTTTGAGACATTATTCGATCATCAGTGAAAAATGTTGGAGAAATTCTATAATGGCAAGAAATGCAAATAGTAACTGGTGCCTGGGAGTGATACTCTAATGAATCACGGGCAATTTTTAATGTACTTTCCAAAAGATAA